CGACCCACTTTGCAGGTCGTCTTCAGGGCGTAGGATGTGGCACTGCGGGAGGCAGTTGAAACTCAGTGTTTAATTTCCTATTCAGTATTTAACTCCTTCTCATATTATATCAACGGTCAATCATCTCTACATCATTACGAATTATAAAAATCATGTTTATTCCACCCTCTTATTCATTCTGCATACTCAAGCATCAGACAATTCTGTAGAAAATTTACCCTAATAACAAATACACTTTCTAGTAATGAGAACATAGATACATTTTTGTCAAATTAAATAAAATTAAAATTTTTTAAAATGGAATACACTTAAAACAAAACTGTCATTAGTTATAATAATCTTAAATAATTTATATATTCTGAATTGTACCAGCCTTGAAAGGCACATTAATTTTTTCACAATAAGTATCTCTTCACCTCAGAAGGCTTGATAATACAACCAATGTCATTACAGAATTAACATACAGTATGTTCAGTGTCTCAACCTTGACTTTGAATATCAAGGTTCTTTAAACAGACCAGTTACCTTTGTTTTATAAGTGATATCATAGTGGCGAATAATATATTATTTTAGAAGTCCATAAAGTAATACCTAAATAAGAAATATCAATACTGCGTATACTGTGACCAGTGAAAGTTTTCATACATGCATCGGCTAAAAATAAAGCCAGTCCTGTACTAAATATTATTTTACATAAATTGTTAAGTATAACTTCAATACTGTTTTTATTAATTTTATCAAAAATATATAAATGACAAAGAATACATATATTTTAAATAAAATTTTAAGAAAAAAATAAGAATTTTAATGCAGCAAAGTTTTCATGTATATTCGTATCATATAATAATTTATGTATTTATTTTAGTCAAATTAATATCTTCAATGAAATCCTTTGTATTTTAGTACCATTTTAAGTTATTCCGGGTCTACTTGAAAGTCAATGGGTAGGATATTTTCTTCCATTCTTCTAAGAATTTAATTTCAAGATATTTTATTGACATTATATTTCCGTTTATGAACTGTGGATTGACAATGTTCTAGAGGATTTAAATCTGGACTCTGTAGAGAAGTTTCATGTTTATTTGAATAACTACATAGCAGCCATTCCTGTGTGTGTTAAGCTTAGAGCTAAGAATTGTTATCCTTGTAAAATGTTCGTTCTATACCTACTTTTGCCCATTACCAGCCCTTCAATTTCCTTTACATTCCTTTTAAATTTGTATTTCCTGGTTATTCCATCGATAAAAACCAATTTCCTGACTCCACATGCAGACATACCCTCACAAGAACACGAACCCCTCTAACTTTCACAGCAGCAGAAAAATTCTTATCATCCAATTCTGTTCCAGCTTTCCTATGCTCTATCTATACTGAATATTTTCTCGCCTGAATTTATTACATCACTCAAATAATCTTATATTTTTTTCATAAACTCTTTGGTAAAAGCCAACCTATTTTTCTTATTCATTAAATTTATGAGAGGCCATTTGCAATTCACTCAGACTTTAAATGAATAATTTTTTATTACTCTCTGGATTGTATCAGGTCCAGATTGTTTTCCATATTCTTCTCATCTATTTTGGATGTTATTTTCGTGGACTGTTAATGCTAGTGTGGCAAAAAGAAGAGTATAGAACCAACATTCCAATTTTACCAGAATAATAACACTTAGACCCAAGCTCTCTACACACAAGAATGGCTTAGATAAATAGATATTTAATAAATATAGATATTATAAATGCATAGATCTATCCCAATGAATATGAAACCAATCTCCAGAGTCCACATTTAAATCCTATCAAACATTTATAGGTTCATATCGATGAAAATTTCGTAAATGAAAATATAATAGCAATAAAATATTTTGAAACTAAATTAGAAGAATGGGAGAAAATTCCCTTCCAGTATTGACTTCAAAATTGACCCTAAATTACTTGAAATGGTACTAAAAAAAAACCTCATTCCAGATATTAATTTAAAATTTAATTAATAATTAATTTTTGAATAAAATAAAAATATAAATTATTATGTAATATGAATATGTATCAAAATTATTGCTGGATTAAGATCTTTATTTTATATCTAAAATTTGATTTCTTTTCTGGTGATTTATTAGTTTTATATTTTTGTAACTACAACATTTAAGATTGCTTGGGGTGTATACGTTTTTTATATATACAATATATTAAAAATAAAATATGTTAAATTTATTGGTATACAAAAAAAAACAACTTCATTTAAAATATCTTTTTGATAGGTAAATATTTTTGTTAAAATTAATAAAAGTAGTATTGAAGTTATACATTGAAGTTTAAAGAAAAAAATAAGTAGTACAGTACTGTTTTTATTGATTTTTTATTTTCAACCAATGCATGTATGAAAATTTTTGCTGGCCTATGTTAATAATTTTGGTGTTAACTGATCTTGTTCTGTACTCACAATTGCCGTATTTACATTGCATTTAATTCGTTTTTTATATATATAATTGTTTTTTTTTTCCATTCTGTTGCACCATATTTAGATTAAGAGTCAAATGTCAGAATCGCATAGGTTTGAAAAATAATAAATACTAAAAAATGCTTGTTAATTGATATTCTGTTATATTAATAATGTTCACATAATAATTTTGATCATTTTGTATTTTTGTACATTCATGCATCAGCTATGTTTATGGTTACATAGTTATTTATTTATTTTTACAACTTTTCAGACTATTTAGCCACTTAAGTCATTTTCGGCCTTATAAACAATTGAAAATTACAATAGCTACAAAAATATTAATCAAAACATCAATTTTTTTTAATCTTACTAAACAAATGAATTATATATTACATAAAAACCAGTAAGTTAAGACTCTATGTGTTTCATTACATTCTCATATAAAATATACATTTATTTATATACATAATGCTTTAGTTGGTTATTTTGGGATTGTGTTTTCTGCTCCCACAAGTTTTTCTGTTTTGTTTTTTTAGGAAAAATGTATCTTTTTTCTTCATTAATGTTAATTGCATTCTACTTAAAAATAAAAATTGCCAATGGTTTCCAAAAAAAAAAAAATTAAGAACATACAAATACAATTCACTTTTTAATTTACTACTCCGTTTTTTTGGAAATAGGGAAGCTAAGTGATTAAGGCACTGCACTATGTTCTATGTTCCAGGTTCGTGTTCGAGTATAGCTGATAATTATTTATTATGTTACATTAGTGAGGATCCGAATCTGGTGAGAGGAGACCCTTATGGAGCACATCCTGCCTCTATACCGTGGATACTCTTAAATGGTCGGGAAACTTGGCCGTTGAGCGTAATCTTGGTCAAATCTCCTCTTAGCACAACCCCACTGGCAAGTTTAGGGACAACTCTAATACTTTCTTACAAAGTAACTCCTCACAAGTCAAATCAAGTTAATGGTCACAACACCTATTTGACCATTAAGTTGATTTGGCTAAAGAAACATATCCAGTTAAAAAGCTAATAGAACCTCTCTTTACCATATGCTCACTCAAGATGAATAACTATTTAGATCTGCACATACATATCTGTACCTCAGAGATAAAGAACATCAAGTCCATTTTGTATTTGTTCATGGGAACTAATTTTCCATAACTTTGAGCTAATAAAATTTGTTTTTTAGTTACTAAATCTGTACCGCATAGTTTAAGGACTCCATGTTACATTTTTTTATTTGTCCCGAGAGGCAATTTTCCATAACTTTAATAATAATAATAATAATAAAAGGCTTAGCGAACCCGAAGGTGCGATGCCGACACCACCAATCGCTTATTATACACCTTTCTCCACCGTTAGCCGTCCAAAGCCAGTTCCTTAAGATCGTCTTAAATGGAATCTTCCCACCTTCGTTTCGGTCTTCCCCTCGGACGTTTACCATTCGGTACAGCAAATATTAATCTTTTAGGAATTCTTTCGTTACCAAGTCCAACAATTTTACAAGCTCATTTGATTCGCCGTGATGTTACCACTTCAATTATATTACCCGGATACAGTTCACGCAATTCTGCGTTGTGTAACCGTCTGAACTCTCCGATTAAGTCATCCTTCTTCGGTCCGAATAATTTAGGCAATACTTTGTTTTCAAAAACCTTAAGACGTTGCTCATCCCTTAATGTAAGCGGCCACGTTTCGCATCCATAAAGAACTGTAGATAACATAATGGTTTTATAGATTCTAGTTTTTAGATTCCGGGCCAAGAGGCTTGAGCTAAATAGTTTTGTCTCAAAAAAATAACAAGCGTTTCCCGCCTTCAGTCTAAATTTAATATTCTACACACCTGTTATAAAATAAGATTATTAGCGATTATGAAGGTTGAAATCTAGATGGTTAATATATATGATCTAATATAGGTTTGATTAAATGTCCATTTCTTTTTCACAGGGTTAGGTTTTTCCTTAAAAGTACTATACTTCAAAATCTGCTCCCATAGAATTTATTCTCAAATATCAAATCTATGGTAGACAAATATAAACGATAAAGAACCTTTTTTTAATTCTACTTTGGAAGCTTTTTTTTTAAAGATGGCAGTAATTCACCTAACCACTCCTTATTTATTATTCTTTGGTACGGTTTGGAGATATGAACTAATTTATTCCATTAGTTAATTAATTCTTATCCAGTACGAAATAAGCAACAATAACTTATAAGGAAGTTTTGATAATGACAATCATGTAAGTAGCTTTAAACTGATAAATACTGGTATAGCTAAACACTTGTGATCTTGAACCGCAAGGAGAAAGAATGGTTATCAGCAGTGTTTATTGACTAATATTACCCATAAATCAACAATAAGAACGCCATGAATCAACAGAAAGAAAGTGGGGAAATGATAAAATTACATTTGAATTGTAAATAAGAACGATAACTAAGAGGAACTATTTTTTCGATAGTAAGAGTTATTCAAATTTAAAAGTAATGGATACTAAAGAAAGGTGCATTTCAACGTTTCGAATTGTTCGGGTCTGAAATCGAGAAACCTCCCAAGAGATGATCCTTAGCATCCCCGCCTTCTTTGCCACTTTACTGAGCGCGCTCCAGACGTACTTTCCTGACCAGGTAGATCCGAGCTCGAGGACCCGGAACACACCTCAGTCTGAAGTAGCTAGGACTTACGACTTCATAATAGTGGGAGCTGGTTCCGCGGGTAAAAGATTCGTATGATGTTACCATGTTACAGACTAAATAAATCATTGTAACTCTCGAAATCGTTTCTGCAGGGTGTGTGCTCGCCAACAGATTATCGGAGAACCCTAACTGGACGGTCCTTCTGATAGAAGCGGGTGGCAATGACAACTACATTTCCGATACTCCGTTTCTTGCGGAGTTCCTGCTCAACACAGAAATGGATTGGAACTATACAACAGTTCGAGAAGAAGGAGCATGCCTAAGTATATGTTATAATTAAATCATGAATAATTTTATATTATAAAATCACTTTTAAAATGGCAAATAAAAGAAAAAGGAAATGAATTAAACATTCATGGATAAACAAAAGAAAAATATGCTCTTTTTTTGTTTAGTGAAGTTTCTATAGTGGCGTTGAAGTAACTGTGTTCCTAGGTGATCAAATAACAGTGTTATCAAATAACGGAAACGTAACACTGAAAATATTTAATTGAAATCATTATAAAATCAGGCAAAAGCAAAAAACTTCAGTCCCTTTTCTTTTCTGATTCTCGAGTGATTTTTCCTTTTACTTTCACTTACCTATATATGTAATATATAGTACGAAAAAGTATTACGATCGCGAACATTTTCGAATCTGAGTTTTCAACCGATATACACGTTTTGAAGATCTGAATCGAAATAACCAAGTCCTACAAAATCATCGCGTGTGTTCATACGTGAATCTCTAATATCGATAAATATACCACAAAGTCCAACATAGTGAAATGAAAAATAATTTTATTCTGGGACTAAAGTTCCCTTAGAATAATAGTAGGGTTCAAAAATATATATATATATATATATATATATATATATATATATATATATATATATATATATATGTATATATGTATATATATATGTATATATATAAATATATATATATATATTATATATATATATATATATTATATATATATATATATATATATATATATATATATATATATATGTATATATGAATACGAAGGTATATACATATATATATATATATGTATATATAAATTCGAAGGAAAATATAAATATCTACAAAAAATACTAAGGAAAACACAAATATATACAATAAATACTAAGATATAAAAAAATTAATAAATAAAATTAAAATGACTTCTATCAATTAACTGCAGGTGACCAACGTAATTATATACCCCAGAAATTTTTACAAGTTTGTGGTAGTTTGAATTTGTATCAGGTGGTGGAATAGGAGTTGTTTGAAGGAGTTTCTGGGCGTGGTTTGACATACACACATTTGTATTTGAGTATGTTAACAGTCCAGCTAAAAAACAAAAAGTCGTAAGAAACTTAAATTAAAACTAACCGGAAGTGGCATTTTATATGAACTATATTATACATTTTTAGGATTGTCTCAAAAACGGCTCTAACCATTTTCATTATCGTTACTCGGTATATTAGAGTGTCATTAAGTGGTCTTTAAGATCAGCTAGGTCTTGTCCAAATTGATGCCATCTTACAGATAGATGTGTATGTAGGCATATGATTAAAATAGAATGAAGCAGCTTTATTGTCTACAATGGATACAATAAATAGAGTTATTTTGATGGCCTTAATATGTTTTTGTATTGATGAATATGACCATAATTCAAAAATATATTGTTCAAGGTTTAACTTTATTAAAATTGTGCTTCAAAAACTTCTTGTAATAGCACAATTTTGCCAGACAAGAATTGCTTTTCGAAGTACAGCGGTAAGTCAGATTTTTCTTTCCTTTTTTATCAGAAACACAGTTTATTTTAAAGAAGAACCCAATGTATTTTTTTTTTTTTTCAAAAGTATATGATTACAATTTTTCCTACTGTACATAGTTTTAAGTGTTTTGTACATAGATTTTTTTTTTTGTATATAGCTTGTTTAACTAATATTTTCTTTACTTTTTTTTTTATTATTGTTTTATTTTGACCAGACGTAGTCTTTTTATTATGATAATATTTTGTTAGTCTAAAGGGACTTTGTCCCAGAATAATGTTATTTTCTATTTCTATTTCTATTTCTAAGTGAAAGTTGTGTTTTGCGCGTACCAGACTTTTTGTCTAGTAGCTATTGATGAGCTATAGTGTTATCAATAAAAAAAAAATGGAAACAGTGAATGTGAATGTTAGTTTGTTGGAAATTGCTGATCTCTGAATGTTCATCGTCGATTGGTTTTTAATTTTAATTTTAACCCCATGCCTGTCATTATATCATTATCGCCATCACATTTGCTGATTGTAAACTTATTGTTGACAGGGGCAAATACATATTTTATAGACAAAAAAAAAATTTTATAAAACGTTGCAATCAAAATGAGGATTGATTTTATTTACATTTCATTACCATCCGGCCTTTCTTTACGAAATGGCGGCCGAAAAGATTTTAATGAGATCTGGCTGATTTTAATAAGTCTTTTATTTTATAAAATCTTCTACTTAAAGCTCTTTTGATTTATGCATACAACATACATTCCCGAAAAGAGGTTGAAAAAATAAAATAAAAACAATGGATTAATAATTCTATTCGAGAATAATTTAAAAAGTACACAATTTTCGATCAATTAAACCTATAAGTAGTTGGAAGTTTTCTGAATTCTCTACAAAATAAAAAAAAAATCATTGAAATCGAAAAGAATCATGTCCGATAACATATTTTTATTGTATTTTTTTTTACATTTTTTCGATTTATATTTTTTACAAGAGCTCAATTATGACAAATTTACATTTAGAATTTTGCTATAGTACAAATAAAACGTTTAAATGATGAAACAATCTTAACCTACCGAAGGAGCAAAGTGGTTTCAAACATTTTTTTAAGGAGAAACCAAATTTATCAATTTGTATCTCGCACTTTAAAAAACTGTTGGAAACACAAATTCATTTACATTTTTCTTAAATATTCAATAATGATAATGGTTGAATTTCGACCACTTAGCGAACATAATTTTAAATAATAACTAGTATTTAAAGTATAATTATACAATTTCTTATAAATTAAATATTTAATTATGGTGGACAAGTTTCCATTAACTATAATATATAACATTCATTGTTTTCCAACTATTTTCAGAAGCTTCTTAAAGTCATACACTTATGTATCTGGATAGAACACTCATTTCTGTTATATTATTAAACTGAAGATTACTGTTTGAAATTTTCAAGAACAAACCAAGGAGGGACATCGGGTCTACCTTTTCAAAGATTATTGAAAATAATCAAAATACTGCGTGGTACAGACACCTTTTTATCAAATTATTAACAGCCGTCTGAAACTTCGTAAATAGCTTGATTTCATCGTAACCTACAACTATTTTATTTGCGAAAACTCTTGGGCGTTTTAAATCTGCAAATCGGCAAAATTTGTCTATTTAATTAGGTACAAAAAATTCATTAATACCCATTTGCTTTTCACTTGAATCGTAGGTTAATGTCACCACAAAAATTTAAAAAAAAAAGGTGACTTACAAAAATATTGGGCCGTCTGACCTTTATCACCTTGTTATTTTGGGGATGGAGGCCACGCAAAACAGACCAATATTTTGGTAGGTCACCTTTTTTTTGTTCAATTTTGTGATGATATTATCTTTTCAAGTGGAAAGCAAAAAATGGGTATTAATGAATTTTTAGAAAATAATCAAATAAGCAAAGTTTGCCAATCTTCAGAATGAAAATGCTCCAATTCCGAGAATTTCCGTAAATACAATATTTGTAGATTACCATGAGATAAAGCTATCTACGAAATTTCAGGAGGATGTTAATAATTTGATAAAAAAAGGATCAAAACGACGGACTAGAACCATAATAGAAATTAAAAATCATTTATATCATTTCAACTAATTAACTTCATATTGGTATATTCAAATTAATATTTTAAAGTGAAAAAGGAACACACCTCCTAAAAATCTTTTTTTTTTATTCACAATAAAAAAAGGCTACAAATTATTTCACAATGGTTTATTATTTCCAAACAATTATACATATAAAGTAACATTACCTTCCTACTTACAAAGAAAAATGATTCCAATTATTGGACTAAATTTTTTTTTTAATTAATAGTAATATGCTAAAAAAATTAGCATTACTTCAGTAACACATTCAAAATTCAAAAACCATAACAAAGGATATAACCTTTGCAGCAGAACATATTAAAAAAACTAGAGACCACATCTTTGCTCCTAATAGTCCGATTTTGAAGACTTTTTTTTGTTTTTTTAGAAAATTCCGTAACCTTTTAAAAAAACATAAAAACAATATCGACAAAAAAGTGTATGCCTTTTGGGCGATTTGGAATTTAATTTTACCATCCCTCCTAACTTTTTTCCAGCTTCTTTTCGTTGAAATATGTCATATAAATAAATTTAAAGGGCGTCGAGAAAATGACTTTAGCGAAGTTTCATTGAAATGATGAACACACCTCCCTGATGAAGGCCTGCAAAGTCGGGTCCAAACGTCGGCTTTCAATAAAATAGTTTTACCACTATTTAGCCTATTTATGACCGCAACCCCAGACCATCTCCTTCTTTTATTTTAATAACATGGTATTTATGAAATGTGGTTATAATGAAATAAAACCATACCAATACCAGTCTTAAGAACCAAGTGATCTGGACGTTTTCAGCTGAACTTTGTATATAAGTTACCTTCAGCTTGCAATTAATTTACTTTCTCTTGCTAGAAATATATTTATTATATTTTTTCATTTCCAGCTTTCTTTATTTTTTTTATAAATGTAGCTTCTCTTGTTTTTTTTTATTTTTTTATCAATTTTTACTCATCAGAAATATTATCATTTTAATTTTAAGCTTCTTTTATTTTTGTATAAATTATTTAGAACTTTATTCGATTCATTGCCAATTTTTATCCATTTATCTAGACCAAGGAGAAATCTATATTTTCTTATGTTATAAATTAATTTTAAGTGAATATTTATTTCGAAACACCGAAAATTTATTTTTTTCATCTCAAAGTTTATTTTATGTAAGCATTGTTTTTTTATATTTATAAACTTGAGATTATATTTAAAAAATGCTATATCCTATCCTCCATCCTTGATCATTTTTTTTTTTTCCAAAATCCTACTTCCCAACTCTCCAGTCATGACTAATATCCTGAATTCCTGTCACATCAATGCACAATCCCTTACTGCACACTAGAATGAATTTCAGGAACATTTCCTTGATAATTTTTACCACATAATAGCAATACCCGAAACCTAGTTAAAACCTTTTATCCCTTCCTCCAGATTTCCCTATCCAATTATTCCTTCCTACTATTGTAATAGTATAGAAAAGTAAAATTGTAAATAGTTACTACTGTAAATATGTATATAAATTATTAGATCGTTCTTCATTATTTTTACTTCATGTTTATTTTCAATTTTTTGTTTTTTATTTTTAACTGAACTAAATTAGTAAGTAACTTATAATTGTTTCTATTTTTTTTTTTATTTTGACTGTTTAATTACTGTATATTTTTGTTTATGTATCTCTAAGGCTCCTTAGCCCATATTATTGACTTTTTATATTGTCTTGGTGCATATTCTGACCCCAAAAAATTAAATCTATGATGTTTAATTTATTTTCTATGTCCTTTTATAAAAACCTGTAATTTAAAAACCAGCAAATTGTGATGTAATAAACTGTAAGTTACAGTGAAGATCTTACTGTGTGATTGTGTCGTTGCCGAAAAAACGTAATAAATAATAGGTTAAAATTAATTTTTTCACATACACTTTGTATTATTTTTTTAAATTTCCAATAAGTAGCGAAGACTTCCAGCCCGGCGCCTCTGGGCAAATACCCGGTTTCTCCTGCGCTGAGACCGGCACTAGTTACCATGGAACAAGACGAAGCACAGAAGAGAGTGGTAAGTGGGAATATAATATTGAACGGCTTTCAAGACAATCGAAACCTCCAGGACACTGCAAAAGGAGCATATATTAACATGTATTGTATATTTGAATTAAATTATTTCTTGCCAACAGGCACTGGTGGGATATGTTCAGTGAACAGAGGAAGAGTGATTGGAGGTACCAGTACTATCAACGACCTGATTTATGTCAGAGGCAACCGGCAGGACTACGACGACTGGGAGGCACTAGGAAACCAAGGGTGGAGCTACAAAGACGTATTACCTTACTTCATCAAGGCGGAGAACATGACTGAAAGATCTTTGGCCAACTCCAAATACCACGGTACCAGAGGTCCTCTCACTGTCCAATACTCGAGGTTCGTCACACCGCTCAGAGACGACTACGTAAAGGCTGGGATAGAACTCGGATGGCATTTCGGAGACTACAATGCCAAGAACCAGTCTGTTAGTGGATACCAACAGACCAATCTTAACGGACCCCTGCGCGAGAACACCGCTAGGGCATACTTGAATCCGACAAGGAGCAGGAAGAACCTGGACATTATTATGAATTCCTTTGTAACTAGAGTGATTATAGAAAACAATGTTGCAATAGGTGTTGAGTATTTCAGGGACGGCAATAATCATACGGTTCTCGCAACGAAAGAAGTGATCTTGTCAGCAGGAACTGTAGATACAGCTAAGCTTCTTATGCTTTCAGGAATAGGCCCAAGAAAAGAATTAGAAAAACACAATATAGATGTAATACTAGATCTACCAGTCGGTTCGCATTATGTCGACCACGACGATGTTATTGTCACTTATGAACTTAACGACGCGCCTACGGTCACTCCAAGCGTTTGGAGAACAAATGAAAGTATCATGGCGTATGCTATGAATGGAGAAGGGCCCTTAACATTGGCACCTCTAGGGTGCGAGACTTTGTCATTCTACAACCCTCAATCTTCGGAAAAACCGCCTTCTCTTGAGACTATGCACTGTACTACCGGAAGCATAGTATCCGACGCAGACGGCAACAGGAACATCTTAAGATTTGTAATTCTAAATATCGAACCGTACAGCGTAGGGAACGTGACGCTCATGAGTAATGATTTCAGAGACCCACCAGTTATCCAACAGAACATGTTCCAGGACCACAGAGATAGAGATAATTTAGAAGAGGGTGTCATGAGGTTGAATCGGCTCATGGAGACTGAGACTATGTCTAAGTATTCTCCTCGAATATACGAGGAAGGAATGCCAGATTGCGCCGGGCGAACAGGAAGCGATTTCGCAAAATGCGCGGTGGAATATTATTCGATCCCTGGAGGCCATTGTATCGGGACTGCAAAAATGGGTCCACGTTTCCAACCAGACAGCGTCATCTCTTCAGAAGACCTCGTGGTGAAGGGAATGAAAGGGCTGAGGATCATCGATGGCTCCATCATGCCAACACTTCCAAGGGCCAACACTAACGCAGTCATCATAATGCTTGCTGAGAGGGGAGCCGACATCATTAAAAACTATTACAGAATTTAACTAAAAGAACATATGTTTGAAATAAATTTACAGATGAAAGTTATTATATCAAAGCTTCTCTTACAATTTAAAAACTTAAAAAAAAAAAAAAAAAAAAATCACGCATGAATTGTTAAATAAAATACTGTTCATTCATTCATTCCTACTGTAACCAATAAAAACCTTATAAAATGAACATTATATTGTGTTATATTTATTCATGTTCCTTTTCTATAGGTGACAACTAGGCAAATAATGGTTGTATTGATGATTGGTACTCCTTGAGAGATTCCGTAATGCGCTGAGATCCACTAACAGGTCTCCTATTGGTACTTGCGGTTTTTCAAACATCTTTTATAAAATTTCTCGAGGTCAAATAAAATCTTATTTATATTAATGTGTAATGTATTTTATGATAAAAATAAAATAAAAAATTTAGAGAAAAAAAATCATACATCACCAACAATATCCCTATTCAATTTTAGCAGTATATATGAATAAAGAAAATGAACAACAGAAATGTCTATTACTAAAGGAATTTTTCAACTACAGCTTTAAAAAGATAGTGACATGAATTTTCACATTAGTCCTTTGAAAAAGATGCAGTATAGATTAAAAATATTGATCGATTATCAATGACTGCAAGCTTTTTGTCACAGGGAATCGACATCAGCTGAAGAGAGAAATTTAGATCATCTAACGTCCGGACCTCTCGCAGAGGAGCCTCTATCGGAAGACGAACCTAAGGAAGTACCGTTTAAGACAACCGAGAGGAAATGTTTTGAATGTAATAAGGTTGGATTTTGGAAGAAAATAAAGAACGTATTTCTTTTAAATATGTAAGAAAATAAATCACATGACTGATTTTTTACTGTGGACTATTTTTTTTTTTATGGAAAAAAAAACATACAAGTAAAAACAATGAGCTCCTTAATAAACAAGAATTCTTAGTGGCATCTGATAAAATATGAAACAAGAAAATGAAAAAGAGGACAAGTGAAATAAAAAGGCAGATAAAAATGAAAAGGCAAGTAGCAATAAAAAAAATTAAAAGTCACAGGAAAAAGGAGATAAAAATAGAAAAGATGAAAAGCCAGATAATTAATCTACCAAAGAGTAAGTGACGAACAATGATAACATATCTGAAGTTTGTGAAAAACTTACAGAAGAATCTGATCTTAGAAGAAGAAAAGAAATCTGAGGAACCAGCAAAAGATGCAAATGAAAAGGAAGAAAAGACAGTAGAATCTGCAAAAGAATTTGCAGAAGCCAACAATCAGGAAGAAGTAGAAACAGCAACTGAAGAAACTAAAGAAACTGTTGTGGAAAAAGAATCAAAAGATGAAATGAAGAAACAAGAAATGTCCTAAAAAGAAGAAGGGTTGATGTAACAGGAACAGGGGTACGGCCGATGAAAATGGTTATGCGTGGTGATGATGAATCTGGAGAAAACGTTAAATTAATATGAGCTGAATTCGTTAGTAGAACAGGATAAATTCTGTTCATTGTACAAGTGATATACAAATAGCTGCTATTTTAACAAAGCTACTTCGCCAATTAAAATTTGAAAACTGAATGTAAATATTAGTAGTTAATTTGTCTTTGCTTCTACTTGTAAAAATAAATAAATGAAAAAACTAAGGCGTCTGCTTTAGACCACACGATAGGAGTAAATCAACAAGGCGAAATTAATAATATGAAAAATATAAATTATAACTCATTATAAAAAAGATGAAATGTTGAACATTTCTTTCGCTTACAGTATGCAGGCCCGATTTTTAGTTTTTGAGATATTTTAATCCACATCTTCTATCAAACTCGTTATCATTTGGTTTTTGACACTATTTTTCCTTTTTCGCCTCTCTAACACGGCGTCGCGTTAAGATACAATTTTGAATAATAGCCCATTACAGAGAAGATGAAATGATGAACATTTTCCTCGCTAACAATATGCAGGTTCGATTTTTAGTTTTTGAGATATTTTAATCCATATGCAAAAACACTTCAATTAATCGACTACATCTGACTTTACTAGAGCGTTAACACATCGGAAATCTGACGGCTCAATCTAATTCATTCTTCATAAAAAAAGTGCAAAACGTGCCTAAAGAAGTTTTCACTTCATAACTTAACCTTTGCTTGTAAAAACGCTGCAAATTATTCCACAATGGTTTATTATTTCTAAACAACTATACATCTAAAGTAACATTACCTTTTAGTTATAAGAAAAATAAATAAAAGGTGATTCCAATTATTGGACTAAACCTTTTTTTTTTAATCATTAGTAATGTGATAAAAAAAAAAATAGCATTACTTCAGTAACATATTCAAAATTTAAAAACCAAACAAACGGAGACCATATATTTGCTCCTAATTGTCAACGATTTTTTTTTTAGGAAATTTTTTAAACTTTTAAAAAACTATAACAATATCAACAAAAAAGTAAAAACTTTTCGAGTTATTCGGAATTAAATTTTACCATCCATCGTAACTTTTTTTCCAGCTTCTTTTCGTTGAAGTATGTTATATAGATAAATTTAAAGGGCGTAGAGAAAATGACTTTAGCGAAATTTCATTGGAATCGCTAAATTCGTTTAGGCGCTACAGTCTATAGCAACGCAGGTTTTTCGGCAGCCATTTCGAAAGTTAAAGGCGGATAATAATGTCGATAAAGGAGGATCATCCTCGGATGATCTCTGATTTTATATCCAAATTTGAAAAAAAATCGGTCCAGTAGTTTCATAGAAAATGCGCGGACGGCGGACGGACAAAAAAATTTGTATTCGTTTTTCGAATTTTACGCATCCTGAAAAGTGAAACCTCCAATTTTGAGAGGAGTTAAGTTTTTGAATTTTTTGGTCGATCACAATGGTTGATTATTGAAAATAATAAACCAAAATTAATAATGATAGTAAAATTAAAGTGTTATGTTAAAGTATTTTAATTTTTATTGTATCAATCACGTGTTATATATAAATCGATTATGTGAATCTCAATATAACCATATGTGACTTATAACGTTATAATATTGTGTGAAGTTTATATTATTTAGTTAAAATAAAACTGTTGTTCTTTTATGTTCTACACTTTTTAAAAAACCTAAACCTGAATAATCTCAACACAGTTAACCTGTGTTCTGTACTACTCGTGGATGTGTTAATTAACTCAGAAAAATTAATTTACTTTTCCAATATCTCGTATATTTTATTGTTTTTTTGTATTTGTCTGTTCGCTATCGTCGCTGCATGTAATGACCGTGAAATAAAATAGAGAAAAAAATAAAATGAAGATTGGGGAAGATTGAAATATATCAATCTATGTATTTTAACAATGTAAAAACATCACGTGTTTTACTTAAATGTCTAACGAATAAACAATAACCCATATTACAGAAGGCCACTTAAAAGTTGCCAAATAACTATTAGATTGATAATGGACAATGGATTTGTTTCGAAACTGTTATTAGCATTGCAAACTAAGAAGATAATTAAACTATTATCTCACCAATGACATTTTTTAAAATAATATCTCAACAACAGTAACAGTAGTAGATCAGTACGCCAATAGTTTTGGTCCTATGATGCATTGAAAATGGTTTTTAACAGCAGTGCTGAGTTCTTCACGGCTTTTCTTTGTGCGCTGCAGACTTACTTTCCTCAGCAGTTAGATCCAAACTTGAGGACCCCAACCGTTCCGCAGGCAGAAGTAACAAGAGAATATGATTTCGTTATCGTTGGAGCAGGTTCTGCAGGTATATTTCAATACCTTGTTACGGCTATATTTAGGGTAATTAGTTATCAGTTCTGACAATATGATGTCTTGTGTAGGATGTGTTCTGGCAAACAGGCTGTCCGAGAACTCTGACTGGACGGTCCTTCTGATAGAGGCAGGAGGCAAGGATGATCACATATCTGACACTCCGTTCCTTGCCGATTTTCTCCTCAACACGGAAAAAGACTGGAATTATAACACGATTAAACAAGAAGGAGCCTGTTTGAGTAAGTGAATTCCATATTATTTCTGTTTAAGTAAATTAATTTCTTACTATTTCTGCTTGAGTACATTAATTTCTTACTATACCTTCTTCTTCTTTGGCACTACAACCCACGTGGGGTCAAGGTCTCCTGTAACAGCATCTGTATCTAGCATCAGCCGCTACATAATCACTGCAGCGCAATTTGGGTCTTCCAATTGGCTTTCTTCCGAATAGCTGTTCAGTGAGGAACTTCTTTGGAATCAGGCACCCTAGCTACATGACGTGCCCAGCGAAGTCGACCACTCTTGATAAATCTAAACATGTTACTTTCCTAGAAAAGTTCTTGCAGTTTAGCATAGATTCTCTGATTCGCAGTTCTTCTGAGTGATTCGCACAAACTGGATCAAATATTCTACGAAGGATTCGCCGTTTTTATCGAAGTAAGACTTGCTCGATGGTTTTCGATATAGTCTAGCATTCTGAACCATAGTCTTATACAAGCGTAGTTTTGTTGTTCGGGAGAGGGATTTGCTTTTATCATGTGTCTCTGAAGTCTGAAATAGCACCTATTGGAAGCCATTATTCTTCGATTAATTTCAGGTCACATAACGTTTTTGGAGTTCACCAGAGTACCCAGGTAAACTAATTCTTCTGCCCATTGGAAGGTAAACTCTCCTATCCGAATGCTTGTATTTGCCTTCATATACTTGGTCTTAGTTTGATTTATAGTGGGACCAAGCCTTGCTTCAGCTTTTTCAAGGTCGAGGGAAGGCATCCCTGTGATACGTATAGCAACTGTCGTAAGCTCTTCGAAAGTCTTTGAAAAGGCGATGTGTCGGTATAGCATATTCCCTGGTCTTTTCCAGCAGTGTCCTTGAAGAAAATATCTCGCCATTGGTTGCTTTTCCTTTCATAAACCTGGTGTGGTCCAATTACATGATGGGCGAAAGGAACAGTAGTCTTTGGAAGTGCGTTGTCTTTGGAACAGAATTCTAGAAATGATCTTATATAAAGATGCTACAAGTGAGATTCCACAAAAGTTACTGCACTTCAGGATGTCCCTATAGGACAAATGACTATTCTGCACAATGTCTCCGGTATTTCTTCCTGTTGCCATGTATCCAATATATAATATAATATAATCCAAATTTACTATTCCTGCTTGAGTAAATTAATTTCTTACTATTAAGCGGATTAAGGTTTTAATTTTGGAGAGATTTTTTTTATTTTTAATGGTTGTAACTCCGGAAGAAACGCAAAGAAACTACAAGAAATGATGGTTAAGTGATCGTTTAAGGCCTATTATATTACAGGGACAATAATGCTTTTAGGGGTATATTTTTCTAGACACAGGCTTAGGTTTTGTAGCTGTACATACGTTGTAATTTAAAAATAGAACTTATTGTGATTGTATATGGATTACGCTCAGATCACTAACAGAAACAGATATGGACCAATGAAAAAAAAAAATGTTCAGTAAATATTATAAAGAAAAATCTATGATATAAAGTGGCAATTCTAGTTAGCCGATTGCTAACACCCCGACATATATATATCCTATAATTACGAGATATCAGCTTCATGAGAGTTTATATTTTGCAACTAGACTGCTCGTATACATGCAGACCATTTTGCGGACCTGGTTATTTGGCGTATAAGCAAGAAATAAACATCCTATAATTTCCATATCACAATACTTACATATATAGTACATACACAATACATTTCTACGAAATATATTACATATATAGGTAAGTAAAAGTAAAATTGTTACCCTAACAGTACAAAGTTCTTATTTCACAGTGAGGAAATTGTTCAAAGTAGTTAAAGTGGTTTGGTTTTCTTGATAAATATAATATAATTTAATTTGATTTTGTAATAAAATAATAATTCAGAATATTATCTTTTCAGATAAAGGTGGAATTTGCTCAATTCACAGGGGCAAAGTAATAGGAGGCTCAAGTACTATTAATGATATGTTTTACGGAAGAGGAAACAAAGAAGATTACGAAGAGTGGAAGAGACTCGGAAATGAGGGTTGGGGCTATGACGACGTCTTGCCATATTTCAAAAAAGCAGAAAACATGACAGAACCGTGTATCGCTATTTCTGGTTATCATGGAACAAGGGGGCCTATGAACGTACAATTCTCGAAATATCGAACTCCGCTACGAGATCGATACACAAAAGCCGCAGAGGAGGTTGGTTGGAAGTTGGCGGATTATAATGGTAAAAATCAATCCGTAATCGGTTACCAACAAACTACAATAAATGGAGCCTTGCGTGAAAGTGCTTCCAAAGCCTATTTAAATCCAATCAGGAACAGAAAAAACCTTCACATCATTCTAGAATCTGTAGTGAGTAAAATAATCATAGAAGGCAGGGTGTCAAAAGGTGTAGAATACTTCAGAGGAGGCGAGACGTATAAAGTTTTCGTCAAAAAAGATGTAATTCTATCAGCTGGTACGGTAGAAACACCGAAACTTCTAATGCTATCTGGTATAGGACCAAGAAAAGAATTAGAAAAACATAAGATCGACACAATCGTAGACTTACCTGTGGGTTCCAACTACATAGATCATGAGAATGTAGAAGTATTCTTCAAGCTCCCAGAAGATTCTCCGGCAATCACTCAAATGGATTGGAAAACAAATGAAAGTGTCACGGCGTTTGCTAAAAGGAAAGGAGGTCCACTAACAATGCCGGCATGTGCAGCTGAAGCTGTTTCTTTCTTCAATCCTATCCAACCAGGTGATCCTCCATTAGTTATGATGACGTTTTGCAGTAATGCCAACATAGAACCGCAAGAGGTTAAAAACGGTTCTCTAATTAAGGTTATTTTAAGCAATCTCAGGCCGAACAGTGTTGGCAACATAACACTCAATAGCAATAACTTCAGGGAACCACCTCTCATTCAGCCTAACATGTTAAACGATGAGACAGGCCGAAAAACTCTAGAACTGGGTATAAAAAAACTATTTAAGGTTATGGAAGCTAATATATTTCTACAGTATTGTCCTGAACTATATACAGAAAATGTACAGGCTAAATGTAGTGGTATGAAAGACGAAGACTATATAAAGTGTGTAATTTTACAATATTCATTTCCAGGACAACATTGCGTAGGGACAGCCAAGATGGGCCCTGAAAATAAAGAAGATACCGTGGTCTCCTCAGACAATCTCACTGTGAAAGGTATCAAGGGTCTCAGAGTAGTGGATGGCTCAGTCATACCAACTATTCCTAGGGGAAGTACTAATGCCGTTATTATCATGGTGGCTGAGAAGGCTGCTGACATTATCAAAAATTATTACAAGCGAAATGAGAGTGAAGAAAGTTCTACTATCAACAACTCTAATAATACTGAAGAAAGTTCAACTACCAACAACTCTAATAAGACTGAAGAAAGTTCAACTACCAACAACCCTAATAAGACTGAAGAAAGTTCAACTACTGAGAGCAAGCAGGGAGAGAGTTCTGATAAACCTAAACAATCAAATTTTATAAATATGTTTCAACAAATAATTAATCCTTACAAGCCATGATGACAATTATCTAAAACTTCCTTCAACAAAATGTGATGACTCCAGTATAAAATATAAAAAAAATAAAGTTGTATTTTCAAGCCTATTTTTTTTTTATTTCTAAATTGTTTTTCAAATATAATCATCCACTACATTTATAGGTAAATGAAATAATTATGCATGAAAAATTATTATGTATTTTCAAACAAAAATTAGAAAATACAATGGAAATAAATTAACAATAAACATACATCACAAACCATGAAGAATGGTGTCGAACCTGGAGCATTAAAATAAATCCCATCAAATCACTTTTACCCTTCGTCGTAAACCTTCTTTCCACTTCACAACGTGGACAAACGTCGTAACTTGGAATCCTCATAAAAGAACGGAAACGACAAGAAACCGCTGCTCGACGTTTCCGACTACTCCAACACTTACTAGACAAACCTTATAAGCTTCCAGTTAATTACATAAGACTCATATACATGACTACAATAAGATCTATTTGGACTTACTAAGTTGAGCTATGGGACTCCGCTAAACCACCGAATTCACCTCGTATCCAACTTTTGCAATCCAAAATCCTTCGTAAAATCCTCAATGTTCCCTACTTTATTACAAATAAAATCATCCATAATGACCTTAATGTTCCTTTTATTTCAGATTTTATCCAATTCAGATACCTATCCTTCTATAATAAACTTCAGAACCATCCTAACCCTCTCGTTTCTAACCTTGCTTCTTTTTCCTGATAACCCTCCGAGGCGTCTGAAAAGAAGATGGCCACGTGATCTCCTAATGTAAACATATTATTAGAGTGCTAACATTGAATAGTTTCTCAACAAGTATTTTCACGTCATTATATCCATTCGTACAAATTTACTAGATTTATTTCTTTAATACAGTTGTAAATATTATTAAGAAATAAAAAAAATTACCAATAAATGAAGTATATTTTATAAGTAATAAGTTGTAAAAATGAAAGATGTTGTATAAGGTTATCTACTAAATCAATTATAGATATTTATTTATATTAGTAATAGGACATGATTAAAAAAAAAGTTTTAAGAGAAGCATCAGCTAATAAATAAATGAAGATAAAGAAAAATATACGCTAGTGAGCTGAAAACAATATCCCAGTATCAATATTGAATCACAAAATTTATTTGAATTTCTAGACACTTTCTTTCAATTTATTAGATTCTATAATTTTCCTCCAGTTTTCTTTTATTGAAATGAATAAATAAATTAGGAGTTAATTTATAGATAGGATTTAAAGAACCTAGAACGTTTTTCTAACAGCTTTCTTGCAAGAAAAAAGCTTCGCAGTTGTTGGCACAAAATACTTTTCAAATGAAAAAAACGAAATTCCACTATCCGTTGAGAAATACCTAAGTAATAACTTATCCTATGAAAATAAGAAACTTAGAATTTATTTAAAAATAACTCATTTCCAAACTTATTTTACTCATGTCAACAAATTACTCAACAGAGAATTATTTTCAGAATAAAAAAAAAAAACCTAAAATATTTTTAATGATATACAACAAGTAACAAAATTAGTTTAGTAGAATTCCCTTTCCAGCTCCAACCATCCATATAATCCTCCATGAAGGTTGAAACGGCAATGGCCCCGACATGTTTTGTAACATCCCGGTATCAATGTTGAATCACAAATTTTATTTGAATTTCTTCGCATTTTCTTTCAGTTTATTAGTTCTTATACTTTTTCTCCAATTTTCAATCACGAAAAGGAATAAATTATATGTATTAATTTATAGATAGGATTATTATCTAAACCGTTTGTCTTACAGCTTTCTTGGCTGAATTTTCCAGGTAATTAATAAACCCACTTATTACCTTACCGCAGCTTATTTATTATTAGAACAGGATCCAAAGAACATTTTGATTACAGTAACACCTTGTCGGTCGTTGGCGCAAGATACTTTTAGTAGTATCCGATGAAAATAAGAAAAATTAGAATTTATTAAGAAACAACTCATTTTCGAACTTATTTTATTCATATAAACAAATTATCCAACAAAGAATTATTTTCATAACTAAAAAAAAAACTCCCAAAATATTTTTAATGATATGTAACAAGTTTCAAAATTAGTCTAGTAGAAACAGGTTTATTATTTATACTTCATTGAAAATTATGGAAACCAAAATGTTCAATTCGTGCCTAATCAGTTGGAATGTGAGAGTTTACTAGATTATGTACCTCATTAAAAACATAAGAGATACGAATAATCACAACACCAGGAAATTAGGGGTTTTTTTTTGTCGCTCTCAGTGCTCGGCATTGTATTTGTACATCCAACTTCCTCACAGACATTACATAGTTGAAATAACATAAATATTCTATAAAATATTCTTGAACGTCAAAAGGAAATGAATCGCTGATGTGGGAAAATAATTGAAAGTTGCCAAATAAAATTTACTCTGATACAAGAAAGTGCTCGAACAAGATTTGTCCATGGTGCTCAGCGCAATCTTGCCTCTACTCCTTTGTTTTTCCACGGTAGAATGTGCGAGACAAAGGAAACCTCCAACCACTTTTGGCTTACAGAATATCGTGAGTATTAACTTCAATTGTAATGGAAAAAATGGGTTCGGTGTATCATAATTGTAATAATTATTATGTTATTTGTTCAGCATATCTATTTTCTTGTCTGCAAGAGAGATCCTCTTTTATCAAATTAATAACATCCGTCTAAAGCTTGGTGAATATCTTCATCTTATCGTTACTTACAACTTTTTTTTTTTCTCGAAAATTCTCAGAAAAAAAGTATGGTTCTTATTAAATAAATAAGGTTCTAAAATCTCATGAATACCCATTTATATTCCAATTGAATCGTTAGGTAATCGAGAAGAAAGGTGGCTTACGAAAATTTTGTAGGCCAAATATTTTCTCAATTGTGTGTTCAAATTATTTTCAATAATTCTTTCTTGTAATACAAAACAAAAAGTGAATAAACAATGGAAACTTGAATTAAGTAGTGATTGAGTGCAATTTCAGAAAACAAAAACAAAACTATATTATATTTCAGCAAATTTTACAAAGCAGAGTTTATAATACACACATTATTTAATTCTTTTTTTTTCCAATGCCTAAGTAAATCCTGCTTGATCAGCAATGCGTACTCTTGCAGTTCAATATAATTTTGGTCTCCTAACATTAGAGCTGTCTATTTTACTATAGAAACATCTTATGGCTTGTAATGCAGGTATAATATCCAAGGAGCACAGAGGACATTTCGGGCTATCTTTTATACCGATGCGATGGAGGTCCTTCTGCAAGAAATCATGCCCTGTGAGCATTCTAAAGCATGCCACGGCTTGCCCTCTAGAGAGGTCTCTCGGGATCCTGCCATTTTCTTCCAGCAATCCACTCCATCGCTCCCCTTAAATTTTTTGCGCATATTTCTTCTTCAGTGAACTTTGGAGGGTTTGTTTTATCATAGTTTTAGTCGAATCTATGCCCAGAGGAATATCTGGTTGGATCATTCCAGAACCTGTTCTAGCCAGTTTGTCAGCTTCATCATTTCCGTGGAGCCCGCAATGGTCTGGTATCCACTAGAAAGCGACTTCTGTCCCATTTTCCTTTAATCGGTCCAAATACAGATGGCATTTAAGGTCATTTGGATTCATATTATATCAATTTTGGAGAGACAAAATGGCTGCCTGTGAGTCAATAAAGAAAGCAACTTTTTTGTCTTTCCGTTCAACCAATCTTTCAAGGCCAAAGAGATTGGCTTTCACTTCCCCTTCAAAGTTTGTGACTACCTTTCCGACCGGGGCGGCAAGTTGACATTTCTTAATAAACTCTAGCTTCGGCATGTTTGCGTGCTTCCAGTGCAGAACCATCAGTATATACATGGAACCATTCTGTTTCTGGAAATCGTTTTCCAATAGATTCTAGGGTAATAGTTTTTAGTGGGTAAATCGGTGTTGAGGCCTTAGAAATGTTCTGAAGAAGATCACAGTACATAACAAATTGGCTTGTGTAAGGAACTTGTGTCAATGTCGGGAGAGGTTCCCTTTCAACTGGTTCTAGTCCTTTCATTTATATCAAACCTTCTACTGCCTTAGTAAAAATAATTTGTGTTTTAAGGCGTTCAGATGTTTTCATAGTTTCTCCAGATATCCTAATTCTAATAATAATTAACAGCTGTTTTTTTAAAAAAACCTTTTATAAAAACAGTGTTGCCTGCAATTAAAAATAATACATTTCACATTGTAATATAAAAATTCAAACGTTCATCATAGTTAACAAATTCCCGAACATACCCCCACCTAGAGGAGTTTTTAACAACTCAACAAAATTTTCTATAAATTATTGTAAACATATTACAAAACATAACCGTATTTAAAACTATCAAACCGATATGGGTAAGACAATATAATTTAGGAAACATTGCAGACATCGCATATTTCTGCCACATCATGTTTGTAACAAACCCTTTTTCTTCTCTTCCAATGTCGGAATTCGCTCTCCTTTTGTGTAGTATTTCGCCTTCTTTCTATATTTTGTTGTTCTTTCATCATCTTCTTCCAGATCTAGAACATTTTTCTGACTTCGATGCACATTTCTTTGACTATCTTCAGATTCCTAATGTTCTTCTTCGTATTTTTTCATCTCTTGATTTTTCTTATTCTTTTTAACTTCTTTTTCATCGAATGGAAGTACTTCAATTTTAGCAACTGTTGTCCAAGCGTATTCCACTTTTGATTCAGTTAAAATTTTATAAAAATTTTCATTTGATTTCTTTCCAACTTTCTCCTCTTTTCATTTTTTTTTTTTCAGCTTCTATCAATGGTGATTTATCTTCCTCTCTTCTGATCTTAAATAAAACTTCCTGCATAGTAACTATGATTTTCTTGTTCAGTTATTCGCTCTTAACCTTATCTTCTTTATTTCCCTTGGATTTATGGTTTCTTTGAATAGTTATTTTATCTTTCATAGAGACAGCCGAAAGCCATTTTTCTCTATACGTTTCTCTTCTTCTTCTTATTCGGCGTTACGACCCTTTATTTGAGCCATAGCCTGCTCAAGCTTAAACCGCCAGTCCTCCCTGTTCCGTCCTGCTGCCTTCCAGTTCTCAAAACCGAGCAGAGATCTCGCATCTGCATCCTCGCAGTCTTCCCAGCGAAGCCTGGGGCGTCCGACCCGTCTGGTACCAAACATTTGCCCAGCAAAGATCTTGTAAGGAACTTCGTTGGGATCTATCCTTATGACGTGACCAGCCCAGCGAAGTCTTGATACCTTTACGAATGCTGATACGTCTATTTCTTTGTACCTCGCCCTTAATTCAGCATTCGTTCTTCTTCTCCATGCGTCTCTCTCATATATACCACCATATATATGGCAAAGCACTTTTCTTTCGAAACGTAGAAGGAGATGCTCAAGGGGTTTAGTTGTAGTCCAACATTCTAAGCCATGTGTAAGAACTGGTCGTATAATTGTCTTATAAATTCTCACTTTCGAGGCTTTCCACAACATACTACTTCTCAAGAGTTCGTAGAGGGGAAATAGGTCTATACCTTTCTACCTCATCAATTTTTTTTTCAATTAAACTATCATCTTCAACATGAGTAAACATGAGTAAGTTCTTTTGTCTGTGTGTCTAAACCAAAAAGTCTCCCCGTTCAATCAATTTCGAAAATGATGCTGAAATGTCATACAAGTCAAAATTCTCTTCTTTGAACAACAGCATAAAATCATTATAGCCCAAGATAAATCTTTTCCGTGAATGAGTCCTTTCTCTTATTAAATTTTCGAATGCACTCATCATAAATTCAATTAATGAACTTACTACTTACCTGTTTCCCGCAAGGGATGCCAGTATTTTCTCGCAATACAAAAAAGTGAAGAACAATGGGAACTCGATTAAAGTAGTGATTGAGTGCAATTTTAAAAAACACAAAACTATATTATATTTCGGCAAATTTTACACAGCAGAGTTTATAACACACACAATTTAATTCTAAACTAATTATTAACAGATGTTTTTTCGAAAACCTTTTATAACAGGAGTGTTGCCTGAAATTAAAAATAATACATTTCACATTGCAATGTAAAAATTCAAACGTTCATCTTAGTTAACAAATTCGTCTTGACAAATCCCGAACAAACTCATTAAAGTAATAAAGTTTAACTCGCAACATCTATTTGAATCTGTTAAATCTATAATTGTTTTTTAGAACTCCAAAAAACAGATAAACTGTTTTATTGATACTTTATGTTGTTCGCGGAGTTACCGAGAATACTTTCAGTTGGCACAATATACATTTTTCATTGTTTTAATTAAATAGTTCAATTGAAAAAAAAATAATGATTTAGTCGATGTCAATAGTTTTCCCTTACAGGTTGCACTAAGCGGCGGACAGACACAATTTTTTTTATTCGATTTTTACGTATCTCAAAACCTAAAACCTCAAATTTTGAGGAGGGTTAAGTTTTTATATTATTTGGTCGATCACAATGGTTCATTATTGAAAATAATAAAACAAAATTATTTGGATCTATTATTTAAAAATCTGGTGCGTGCAACACACAACTTTCACTTACCTCTCTACTTTTAATAGAAATTATTTTCGGCAATGTTGAGTTATTATAAAACTTTTGAAATGCACTTCTAACCGAACTATAGCTTTAAACTTACAGATAATAAATCATTAAGACTACTAAAATAACAAAAACCCTATTAATTATATCAACGGTAGACAATAAAAACCTCGGTACTCTATCTGTTTTTGTAAACCACGTAACTCCAGTCTCTGAGCTATATTCCTAGAGAGATTTGAAAGTATATCTCTATATCCAACCTATAAATGATTATGAATATGTACATGGCTTATTAGTTATTAAACTGTTATTTAATATAGTAAAGTTTACTACAAATTACGAGATTTTCATTGCCTGCCATAGATAGATCAAAAGTTGTCACACTAATTTTAAGTGGATAATGTTTAGATTTCACAAAGTGAAAATTCATTAAATTATTCACTAATTTAATTTTCTGAAAGCTTACATGACGATATTTCGGAATAATTACGTTGATACCTAATTATTTAAATATAATATCAGATCTAGAATTATTAAACGACAGTAAACGTATTTAAGGTTATAAACATATGCTTTATACATCCAAGAAATATTTTTATATTTCACTTCTTCTTTCACATAAGTACAATGAAATCGTTTTTTAAACAATGCCATTGCCTGAATTAGGTGGATTTTAAAACTTTTTTTTCAAACTTAAAAAAGTTTATATTTAGTTAGTAAATTTCATTCAATTTCCTAGAAAACATGTGATTTTCGTTAAATAATATTAGTTTTCACAATTTGTTATTTATAGTTTTTCTCCATTATTTTCTACGACTTTCTATATTAAATATATATATATTTTTAATTCTCTACTTTCCAACGATATATTATACGTATACTTTTTGACTAGTATTTCTGGAAATTCATTTTCCAATTATCAAATTCTTTAGGAAGTTACATTTAACATTTTTTTTCGTGTCTTTTAATAATGAGAGATAGTTATTATTTAAAATAAATCAAATTAAACGTACTTTAGAGGAAGACATGTTGAGCATTTAAGCTCTGTAAAGTGATATCAATGGGTATAAGACCTCAATGATATTAAAGTCCACGTAATTATATTATGATATACGGGTTTAATCAATATCATTGGAGCCGTTTTGGGGAAAATTATAGGAATTTGTAACATCCATTAAACGTGGCACTTCCAGTAAGCCGATTTCGACGAAAATGTTGCTGCTACATCTCAGGTATATACAAACCTGAAATATGCAATTTCACTTTCATATTTCATATTCAAAGACTTCGTTTTTGAGCTAGACCCGTCACATACATACACAGGCGGATCTACGAGGAGGGAGCTTTCGGGTTGAAGCCCTCCCCCCAAAATGGTGAAATATAACCATGTTTTATGAAAAAATTATTTATAAAAAGTATTATCGTTCGTATGATTAGATTTGATTGGACCTAGAGAATCAATTAAACACCATTTCATATAAGTAGTTAATTTCTTTCTTTCTTTTCTAATTAATTATTGTTATACGTATATGAAAAAAAAAAAAAAATCTTTCGGGCTGAATTCCCCCGACCCAAATTAAATCCTGGATCCGCTAGTGCATACAGACACACAGACCATTTTGCGGGACTTAGTTATTAGGACTCAGCAGACCTCAAAACATGTATTTCCGTTGAAAACTCGGATTCGAAAAATTTCACGATCGTAATACTGTCTTTACTATATATTTCATATATAGGTAAGTGAAAGTAATAAAGTGTGCGGTACACCTCACTAGCGGATCCAGGATTTAATTTTGGGGGGGGGCTTCAGCCCGAAACCTTTTTTTTTCATAAAAATAAAGATAATTACTTTGGAAAAAAAGAAAGAAACTAACTACCTATATGAAATGGTGTTTAAGTTATTCCTTAAGTACTTTTAAATGTAATTACACGAACAATAATACTTTAAGAGGTATTTATTAAATTTTTTTCCCATAAAACATTGGGAATCTCATATATTTTTCGATTTTGGGGAGGGCTTCAGCCCGAAAGCCCCCTCCCCCCGTAGATCTGCCCGAGGTACACCTTAACGCGAATGCATCACGTCAAATAAAAATTTCATGCAGAATTTCCTGCTTACGTCACTATATTTCTCAGACATCTTCAAAGTAAAATAATTTATTTATCCTAAAATCAACGAGTGTCTGTTTCTTCCACTTTTTTTTAACATGATTTATTGTTATTCTTTAAAATTTTGTGATCTCTGATTTTGGGATTTTGTGGGGAAAAAAATCGTAAAGAGTTTCTTGGCCCACGAGAATAACGATGTTTTTAATAATATCTTTATAATATAATATCTTAATAATAATGTATTTAATAATAAGTCAGGCAAATGAAAGATTGCATTGGTCATAGGGCAACTGTCCCCTCTCCCTCTCTAACATAAAAATAAAATAGCAACAAATATAAACAACAAAGTTCTGAAAATATGATTGACACTGATGGGTTAATAGTCAGTATTTCAATATTTTGAAATTAACTAATAGAAATTAAAGTTAAAAACTGACCATTTTTGAAACTTTTTTTTTATTAGTTAACTAAATGAAATCTGTCATAGTTTTTGTGGTAAAGTTATAAGGTTGGTGCAGTAAATAATTTAAATAGTAAAAAATACTTAAAATTCTTTATTTGAGTAGTTAAGAATGTACTGCACAATTTTTTTAATTTTATTTTTTAACGAAATCAATTGCCTCAACAGAACTTTCTATATGTATTTAGTTCTGTAGATGACCAGTTCTGACTGTAATGGTTTTGAATAACGCTTACGCACGAATAAACACGAACAAAGAAAAACAACATTTAAAATTCAATATCATCAGGAAATATTAATGTTACATTTATGGTATTAACAAGAACTATTCATTCATGCAAATATATAAAATCCGGCAGAGGCCTATTAATTGAAATAGATAAATTTCTAACTTTATGCTTATAATCACATTCTGTAACTGTTTATTATTGACAAAATCAACATAAAATCTCTTCCCCATCACATCTTATGAAATGATGGAAAGAGGAAAAACGGAGAAGTTTTAAAAGAAAAATGGTATTACAAGTTCACTTTTATAATGAATCAATTTAATATTGAAATATATGATTATTTATCAATAAAATTATAACATGTTTAAATTAATGAAGCGAATACATACTTGCTGTTTCAACGATTTTCAGCGATGCAGAAGAGAGAAAACAAAATAACACTATAATTAGTAAACAAAACTATTCAACAGGGAGAAACGATAAGCTATAACAGACTGAGAGGGTAACAATAAGGCGGGAAGATTTTGAGTATTGCCATACTTTGAAAAATAAAAATTCTCTCACTTAAACTAGCGGACCCAGGATTTAATTTTTTTTTGGGGGGGGGAGGGCTTTAGCCCAAAAGCTTTTTTTTTTATAAAAATAACGATAATTACTTTGGAAAAAAAGAAATAAACTAACTACCTATATGAAATAGTGTTTAAGTGATTCCTAAAGTCCTTTTAAATGTAATTACATCAACAATAATACTTTACGAGATAATTTCTTTATATTTTTTTCCATATGGTTATATTTTACCATTTTGAGGGGGCTTCAGTCTGAAAGCCCCCCCCCCCCGTCCCGTAAATTCGTCCGTGCTCACTTAAACGGGTTTTTAAATAAATGAAAGGAAGAGAGAAATATTGTTGGGGAAACATCAATTAAAGTTAATTACATTACTGAAATCAACATTAAATTTTTAAAACGGACAAATTAAGAAATTATGACCATTTCTTTTGTAAGGAAACGAAGAACGTAAAATTTTATAAAGTCTAATCCAGAAACATCTCTACTCACTAGCGGATCCAGGATTTAATTTTGGGGGGGCTTCAGCCCGGAAGCTTTTTTTTCATAAAAATAACGATAATTACGTTGGAAAAACAGAAAGATACAAACTACCTATATGAAATGGTGTTTAAGTGATTCTTGAAGCCCTGCTAAATGTAATTAAACGAGCAATAATACTTTAAGACATTTTTTTTTATATTTTTTACCATAAAACATGGTTACATTTTACTATTTTGGGGAGGGGGGGCTTCAGCCCGAAAGGCCCCCCCCCTGTAAATCCGCCTGTGTCTCTACTTGAATATTAAAACTCTGAGTAGGAGAAAGAGGATTCAGTTCCGTTTTGGTCATAAAACAGGAATTTTGCCAGGAGATGTATGAATGTCTAAAAAAAGGGGTGGTCATCAGCCATCAGGATCCATAATGCATGTCCCACCTCCCATGAAATTGTATTGCTCATCTTTACTTAAAAATAGTGCAAGTGAAAGTAAAATTTGAAAAATTGTAGTTCATATACAAATATACTTTTGATTAGTTTCGCGTTTTTCTCTTTGTAGCTCAATTTAATATTAACCTCCCAGAATTGTAATCTCAATAAAATATAGTTACAAAAATCATAACCTCATCAACCAAATCCTCTGCTTCTTGTATTGTTGTACTTATTCAAGAGCATTTTGAAAAAATTAGGTCCTATATATCATCCAGTTTGTACTAGATTTAAATGTACATGACTGACCATACATGGAACTCCCTCATGGGTAGATCAAATTTTTAGGTGAAAAAAAAAATATATATATATATAATTTTTCATTTAATCATTTTGTTTTGATTTTTTTTTTTAATTTTCTCAATGCTTTAGGACCAACTTGCAGCTAAAGGAAATTATAGTGTCACAAACTATGAAGTGATCACTGAGGATGGATACAGCCTTTGGATCTTCAGGATTGGCAACAATACTGGTCCTCCAGTTCTTATGCAGCATGGGATAATGGTCGCTGCAGATCAATGGATAACTCGAGGTCCCAAAAGAGACCTTGGTGAGTTACTTCTTATTTTCCTTAGATGTATGTTATTTATACTTGATGGTAAAAGTGAAAACATCCTCGTATTGTTATAATATAATCATAAAATTTAAATACTATTACTAATAGGACATTTGTATTTCTGAGATAAAAATTAATTGATTTAATGAAATAAAGGATGACAAATAATCAGGATTTGCAGTCTTTATATGGGTTGCCGACGTTTCAACCCAAGGATACGGGCTGTCCATCAATTCAGGGGTCATTGAAAAAAATTCACCTTAGTTATTCTTGTTGTCGTTATTTTTTGCATGTTTCTTATTTATTTATTTTTACTTTTTATATACTGATTTATTTTTAATAATTTTTTTTCTTGACATCCTATTATGTTACTATTAACATTACCTCATGTGCACTTTCCATCTTTTTATCTTGTCTTATTTAAATATCTATATCTGATAGCCCTAAGTTTTTGATTTTTAGCCCTGATGATGACCACCCACATGTTTGGATCGAAATTTCAGCAAGTTTAATAATTCATATCATCCTGCTCAACTGATTAAATCCCTGTTTATCAGTTATTCTCATATTTTAACAATCCACTGCATATCCGTCTATAAATTATTTATTAAAACATGTAATATGTTTAATTACTATCATATTTTGAGTAGTTTATGGTATTTTCTTTTTGGTATTAGAAGAGTCCATGCTCAATTTTATAATAATCTGTAGTTTACCTTTTAAATTTGTAATATGACAATAAAATTTAATATTTCCAATTATAGCATTCATGCTTTTGGAAGAAGGTTTTGATGTTTGGCTTTCAAATCAAAGAGGAACAATCTTCAACCAACGTCATTTGAAATACTCTAAGTTTGATCCTAGATTCTGGAATTTCAGGTAAATACATACATAACAACCTTTAATATTAATTAAAATTTAATGCAAGCATCTAATTTAATGTCAAAACATTAAAAAATAATTTTATATTTTGAGGATATTTTGTAAACAAATTTTTATATCTAATAATAAATTACTTTGAACTAATTAAATAATGTTTATTTCAGCTTTCATGAATCTGGTTACTATGATATTTCTGCTGTCATAGACTTCATATTAGCAATTCGAGGAAAAGAAAAACTTTTTTACATCGGGCATTCCCTAGGTGATTTAATTACCTCATAAATTGGAAAATGAACTTACTCATCATTTTAATAATATGATGTTAACATTCAAGTATTCTTTATTCAAATTAATGATCATTATCACCCATGAATTAATATTCTTATTGCAAATTAATAACAGAGTAAATCTAATTTTTTTTTAAACGTTAGTTGCAATTTAATGATAAAATAGTAACAGCTGTTTTTAATAACAATGTAAAGCTCTGATTGAAAAAAAAAGTTTATTCAAGAAACTTTCTCTGTCCTTTTAAAATTAGAAGAAGAAAAATATTGATGGAATATAAATTTCTTAAATAATAACAAGAGTTATAAAAATTATTTAGAAAAATACGTATGAATATTGAAGATATTTATGTATTAATTGACTTTTTGTTCTCTAGGTACAACTGTCTTCCTTGTTATGGCCTCCACAAGACCTGAGTATAATGATAAGATACGTGCAGCTGTCTTATTATCACCAATTGCCTACCCACCAGATTTGGATGAGATGACACCTCCACTCCAGTTGGCTATAAAAAATGCTGATTTCCTATACGTAATATAGCATATTTACTTAAGCTTCAACTATTAATATTATTTATATAGCTTATAAGTGCGAAATGTTATGGAGTCACATCTTTATAAACCTATTAGCAAATGGTTTTTATGTATGATTTTACAAATGAACCTTGATAAAAATGATGTTGGGTATACGCCCAATATGTTTTTTTACAAGTTAATATTTGTTTCATAAGAGTTATCTGAGCCAAATAATTAAAAAATTACAATATTTTTTCTTTTAAATTACAACGTACTACTAAATATATAAGCATACATCAAGGAAAAATATAAAAATGTTATGCCTAAAATTATTACTGTTCCCATAATTATCAACAAAAACATCCAATTGAATTATGAATTTGTTACCGACTTCAATAAAATACAAAATATTTATAGTGTAAATTCAAAATTATTGTTACTAAACTTATCAAAAGTTCATACTAATTCTAATATATTTACTACAGGTAAGAGATCATAATATTTATAATATATAATATTTATCTATAAAATTAATAAAATAGTTTTTAATAAATCTTAACTTTTTCTGTTTGCAGTTTATACTATCACTGACAGGACAACTTGAGTTTGGCCATAGAAACGCTTTTAATGTTTTTGCACTACGGGAATTTTGCACAAGGCTAAATTTCTTGCGAGAAATCTGTCTAGATATAGCAATGGATGCTGCAGGGGAGCATCGGAGTAATTTGGATAAAGTATTCTAGCATTTATTTTCATTATAATGATCACATTTATTATTGTATGTTTTGCCCAATATTTAAACATCACAATTATTTTTTTATATAACAGAACAATGGTAACTACCATTTTGAGAATGAATGAGAATGAGTAGAATGAATGAATTTGAGAATCAACAAGAAATTCATTAAGACATTGTATAGTAAATCACAGGAAAGCATAAATTTGTAGAAGGAAATACCTCCTCCCTCTCCCAATTCAAATAAAATTAATTATAATTGTGAATTGATTATTGACTGTAGTGAATAATTGAAAAGAAGACTGGTTGGGGTGGTCAGTAAAAAAAATCCTTGCAGAAACCTTTCGTTTGACCAGCCCTAAGGAAGGCCTGAACTTTAGGCCGAAAGGTTGGTAAAAATAAATATACTTATTTATTTTTACTTTTTTTTTTTTTTTGACTGATCACCCCAACCAATCTTCTCTTCTAAATTTATTATACCTATTGATTATTTTATGTATAATTATATTTTAAATTATTATTATATTCTATACTCTGGGTGGCGACCTAGAAAACATGGAAAAATGAAAAAGGTTAGTGAGTTTTTCAAAACAGGGAAAAATTGATGAAGCCAGAGAATGTTTTGAGTATGTAAATATTTTTTTCAAATTGGAAATCAATATACAGTGGATATCATTTATGATGACCTTGAAGGGGTCAACTTCATCGTTATAAATGACTACGGTCGCTATATTTATTCACCTTTGACTGTCAATAATGGGTTCGGTCGTTATATTGAAATCAAACAAGGGTAATAAATAAAATTTAAGCAAAATAGAATTGAAACTACTTTTTTGAAAAGAAAAAAAAATACTATTTAATATTTGTAATATATACATATTACTAAAACTTTGGTTTTCCAAAATAAAAAATTCTAATCAAGCTTAAAAAATGCTTCCTCTAAAACATTATATTTGTTATTTAAAAGAATAATTTTTTTTTATTTAAGTTATTTTGTAGTCAATTTTCCTTTATGTATAATAAATAAATAATATATTTTTAAAATTTGTGTCCTCAGATATATTGGTCAGGATAAACTATAGTTAAATAGGGAAAAGTCAGAGAATTTTACTTTAACTGTCTGGTAGCCATCCTGATATATTAGATAAATTGTGAAAGAAAATCTTCCTATATTACTTTTTATATTTATTGAGGAACTTTTATATTAGTAAACTACAATGTTTATAATTATATTTTCACTTTTTGTTTCTATGATTACCTCCTGTCTTGCTATTTCTGGTATGGAAGTGGCTGTTCTAGAGATAAAACCAATTTTGACCTGAAAAAGGCAGATTTAAACCAGCATCACTAGACTCGAGAATGTTAGAGTTTATCCTAAGGACCTCAATTCTATTTTCACTTATATAATTTTTAAGAAGATGAGAGGAATGAAATTTCTTGAAAAGAAGCGTCATCGTCATCGTCCTTAAAAAATATTTGATATTTTATAACAAGGTTGTACTAGAACTACTAGAGCTCTGATTCTCCAGAACCTCCATCCCTTACAGGACTGAAAAACTTGCTCTTGAAGATAATCTAATCCTTCTCATCTTTCTTTGACGGAGTACGAGTCTGGTGTTCAGCCTACTTCAATCTCACAAGAAGTGGAGGAGCTAATGAAAGTCCAGCGAGTTTCTTTGCTCTAAGCCAATTGTGAAAAACTGTCTCAAGATAGACGATTTAAGAACTTCAACAGATCAACAAAAGATGAATAAGGTTTACTTGCAGTAGTGAGATGTTATGCAGACATACGTAACATCACAGTACTGCAAATACCCATATTACCTAAAAGGCACAGTAGCGTTTCAATAAATAAATATGCTACAATTCCTTTGGAAGATATTACTTTGCAAATTAATTATATTACTAATTAGCATTTGTTGTTACATTAAGAAGATATTAATTATTAATTAATAAGAAAAATGTTGGAGCACTTTACCTGTCTCTTAATGTATATTACTATTGAGTTTGCTGTAGACTTAGATTTTGTATATAAATTTCAAACATTGCCACAATTTTAAGGTATTTTCTATATACTACTTTACTTTTTTTGTTGACATTCAATAATTTAGTTATTAAATATTTTGTTGTGTGTTTCAATTCAAAAGGAAGAATGGGACAACTTTTTGCCTTTTTACGGAGCAGGAACTTCACTGAAAACATTGCGACACATTGGCCAAGTGTATGCTTCAGGTGTGAATGATCTACATTAATGCTGGAATAATATAAAATCATATGTATAGAGTTTTTAAATAATGTTTTTGTTTCTAGGGGAATTTAAACAGTTTGACTATGGGAAGAGGATGAACCTGAAAAAGTATGGGAATCCTAGACCACCAGACTACCCTTTGGATCGAGTAACAGCTCCAGTAGCAATGTACTGGGGATACAATGATCCTTTGTTGTCTGTAAAGGTATGTTATATTTAACATAATGCACTGTTATATATTTACGTTACATTTTATCTAACTTTATATATATAATGTTTTATATTAATTTTATTATATACAATGTACTGAGAGTGAAATGATCTGTTGTTTGAAATTGTATGATATGAATTTTATTACAATAACCTCAACTGATTGTAAGTGGGAAAAAAAAATATTGAAGAGAAGTTGGTTGGGGTTTTCAGTCAGCAAATATACAAAATAAAAATAAATAAATTATATTTATTTTTATTTCCTTGGATACAAAATTTCAGTGCAACATTGGCTCCCTTCAACAGGACTAGGCAAAGACAATATAACATGTAAATATTGGGAAACTAGTAGAAGGTAATAGTAATAATATATAGGTAAAAGGTATAGTATATTAAAATGTAGGTAGTTAAACTTAACATTAATAAATATGTGGAATAGCAAATATATGATGTATGAATCAAGAAAGTATAAAGTAATGGTAACAAAGCAGTCAGAGACTTATGAAATAATGGAGCAAACTTGGGAAATTGTCTAATCGAAAAGAATGCCTATATTTATTTTATAAATAAAGGTAATAAAGTGATGAAGCAAACAGTAATAAAATAAGGTTAATAACACGATGAAATTAATAAATCAATTAAAAATTAACTATAAAATAACGGTTTGATATATAAAATTAAATTTGATAAAGGATTGATAAATAAAATAACGGTAACAAAGTTATGAAATAACTGAACTAACTTAGAAAGTCATAAAAAAATAAAAAAAAATAATTAGAATTCTTTTATATCATTCCATTTTTTTTTCAACTAAAAAAAAAAGTATTATTCAAATATTTAAAGTATCAAGTGAAATATTAATAGTGCAATCAACAATAATGAAGAAGACAATATAAATTGACTAGGTAAGATTAAGATAGACTCTTTGGCCCTAAAGTTTTGGTTTTTATGTTTTATATTTCCAATTAGTAATCTGGCAAATTTATTTTTTCAACTAACAACTATTATCACTATTACATTAAGTATCAAGACAAATCATGCGATATTTTTATTTTGTATAATAGTTTGAATGTGTTTTTGTAATTAATAAATAGGACCTTGGAATAAAAATGGGTCCTCTTTATAAATACTAATTAATTGACAATTAAAAATCATTTTAATATTCCAACCTAAAAACATAAACTCTCCTAAAAAAAAGTAATGTCAGAAATTTTAATTTTATTTATTTATTGAGATTAATTAATTTTTATTGGCCTTGAGGTCTAAAAATTTCTCTCTACTTACTGGACACCTTGTAATATGATAATTAATTATTTATTCACACAGTAGTTAGAGAAGTTAGTTGCTATAGGTCATAGTCGTTTAAGTACACAAAAAAAATTATTTTTTTTGTGCCAAAGGTTTCAAACTTCATCAGGGCTATGCGAAAATAGCATAACATATTATCTTATCTACACGTTATTTTATGAATTTATTTATATTACTTAATATTCCATTCCATTTCCTTGTAATTTAGTTTTTTATTACCTTGTTTATTTCAGCAAGTTATTACCGTTATTTTACCACTGTATACTTAATCACTATTTTATATATTGTATATATTCCTTATACTATTCCATTATTTGTTAATGTTATGTTTAACTACTTACATATAACAGTCTAATTATTTTAAAACTATTAGATAACTTTATATCATCAGTTTTACACATTTCTACAATTTCCTCAAAAACAATTCTAACAATTTCGATTAAATTCAATATATCAGTGTAAAATGAAGTAGTTTTTAATACAATGTAGGTCTTATTCTCATTGTGTTCACTAAGTTGGGTCACATGCCTAATTTTCAATATGTCTTCCTTTAAAGTACTTTTAATTTTTTTAATTTGAAATAACTAACCATTTCGCATTTTAATATGCTATAAAATTGTTAAATATAAAATATGAAAGTATCTCATAATTAATTAAATAATTAAAATATACTGCCATAAATAGAAATGGTCAGTACAAAAAAAAAACATAAATATAATACATTGGATGGCTATGAAAAAATATGGCAATTAATTGATTATGTAATATTTATTATCATCTATAATTTTTAATTTCATTTCCCTTTGTTTGAAAATACTTAAATCTGGATATGAAAAAAAGTTTGGTAAGTGAAAGTTGTATGATGCACACACCGCACCATATTGTTTTTAGTGCACTTCACTGACTGCAACACCCAACCAACTCCTCATACTGTAAGTATCTACCTACAACCACATTCTTCCACCACTATTTGTACAATAATTAAATAAAAATAAATATAATGATTCTCTGTTACAGTCTGTAGAAAAACTGTTATCTGCTCTACCAAATGTATTATACAGCAAACCTGTAGATGACCCTTTATTCAACCACATCGACATGTGCTTGGGCAATAATTCTAACATTGTCTTGTTTCCCGATATCATAAACCAGTTAAAATCTCTCTCTGTATGACAAACTATTTAGAGACAAGTAGTTTTTCATTGAAAAAAAAGCATAAGGGATAATTTTAAAATTTAAATTTATGTTTTTAAAATTAGTATATATATATAATGTCAGTAGCACATTATTATTTTTATTTTATGTAATAATAATACTATATTCTTTTTAGATTTTTTTTTTAATGTACATTGTTAACTGTTTATTGTTAGCCAAGTATTTCTTGTAATGCTAATCAATCCTTTCTGATATTATTTCCTAAGTGGCTTTCCTGCTCTTTTATAAATTATCTCTGATATCTATTTTGTCATGGATTAACAATAAATGAAAATTAGTGTCACCCCTCTCAAGATATTTTCTTGCTCTCATCTTTTAAAAAACAAATCAAGTTAAAGTAAAATTTAAAAAATCAAAGTCCATATACTTTTACACTTTCAGTGTTCTGTCGTTTTCATCTTATTTCCTGGTTTGAAACTTTTCATTCTGATAATTCATAACCATATTGAAATGTGCCTCCTCTCAAAAATTGAAAACCTTGGGCCATGAAACCCCTTCTGCACATTTCTGGTTTGATGAGATCCCTATCTTATTGGTAAATGAACTATTAAATAATGGCTAATCCAGTGGTGTCCAGAAGGAGGTTTCATCAAAATTTTTTAGGGGAGCAGATTTTGACAAGGATTTAAATTTTTAGGGGTGGTATATTTCGATAGGATTATGAGTTTTTGCAATGAGAAGTTTCAAACCATGAGATAAGAGGAAGAACAGAACACTGAAAGTGTAATAGTAGATGGGCTATAATTTTTTTAATTCTACTTTAGCTTGCACAGTTTTTAAGTAGAGGAGAGCAATAAAATATCTTGGGAGGGAGAGAGGTTTTTGCGCTATTAACCATGGGAGGGGGAGAGGATGGGCACTCCTGTAAATACCCCATCACAAGGGATGTTGCAATATTATCGTGATATCGAAAGAAAAATGCCAACATCGCATTTCAATTTTTTTTTTTTCGCGCTCTATAATATAAAATCAATTTAATTTTTTTTTTTTAAATGTATTAACATATATCAACGTGTTTAAAAACATTCGATCCTCAAGCATAGAATCGATTTCGATTCACTTAGGCTCTTTTTTTTAAAAAAAAAGGCTGGGGATTTGGATTAAATATAATGCAAAAATAAGTTTTTCTGTTGTCTAAAATTAGGTTCTTGACAGTGACCAGCGTTTATGGATACATTTAAGTCGTAAAACAAAATGAAATTAGTTTTATAATAAGTTAAAGGTAATCTTTATCAATATCTATTTTAAAATGAAGAACATACAATTTATTTCGCATAATTACATCCTTGTTCTCATCCCTGTCACCAATAGCAACATTCGAAATCCAACAATGTCAGCTACTGGGGCGACAAAACTATTCTCTAAATTTACAATTTTTTAAAATTTAGTTGTATTTTTCATGGATTTGAAATATGTCTTGCTAAGGTGAGAAATAGTTCTATAAGATAAATCCAAGAAAAATATGATAACATCTATATTTAAGTTCAAAGAAATTTTCTTAAGCATATCAGCTAATGATGCCTCTACCCATTTATGATATCACAACAATCCTGTCCACTATATTGTATTTTGGGAAGTTCAAATAAGAGGATATCTTGATTAATATAGTAAGTTAAGAATTATTTAAAATGTAATAAATATTGTTCAAGGATTTTGCAGGTGTATAACATACTTGTAATGATATTTTACAAAAATAAGATTTATTAAATTTACTCAGAAATAATTTTTAAAAAACAAATGTAAATAATACATTATCTAATTCTGATAAATAATATCAGTTCGTGATTGTAAAGTATTATTCTGAATCCTTGTTCAACAATCAGCCGTAGACTTCAGCATACCAAAATAGGATGTTCTTTGTGCCTATTAAAAATAATATCGTTTTAATTCAAATAAGAATAAAATATTTAACTGTAATGCGATTTCAATGAAATCTAGAAATATTCGTTTTATTCATATTGCATATAATTTATCATATATATTGAAAATTACGTACCCATTACTGTAACAGAACAGACCACGGCATTCGAGGTAAATTGGGCAGCAAAATCCAGGTTGGCAAACCTTCATTTTAGGATGTCTAATAACTTCGTTCGGTTGTATCCCAACAGCTATCTCTTCACTGCCTGTTAATTAATTAAATAATAATTGTCCAAATTCTTAAATTGAATAAAAATATCTCTAATTTTGAGCGGGTCAACTTCTCTTCTTTTTTATTGATTTTAATATTTTATGATTAAAAAATATTAACCAAAAAGTAATAATAGAGAGAGAGAATCACTTTATTATCATATAATATTATCATAAAACTAGGAGGGTTCACCTAACGGCGAACCAACCCCCATTTGGCAAATTACACAACTATTCATTTAATTGTACTGATACCGGTAGTGGTTTTTGATGTCCTCTTCCTTTTGGAATTTAGAGGTATTATTTAGTATAATTTCTTTCCATTCATGTAGATCTGCAGAGACCGTAATAAGTGGTAGTCACATGGAGCTAGGTCTGGTGAATAAGGAGGGTGGGGCAAAATGTTTCATCCATGGCTCAATAATTTATTGCCAGTGACCAATTAAGTATGGAGCCTAGCATTATCTTGGTGGAACACAACACCCTTTCGATAATTTATAACTCTTCAGGATGTTCTTCAAATTTGATATAAATATATCCGTTGGAAAGCTGAATTATTGTTGTTTAAAGCCTTATGAATGGTTTTTTGATTGAATTCCTACACAAAGAATAAATAAACAAAAACTCTATTTGTAGTTTGCTTACGAAGATTTTGTTGGTGTCATTTTGTGTAGTTTACGTGGCCCTCAATTCCTGTTAAATTTCTTCTAAAGTCGCATTGAAGTTATAATATTTTTTGTGGTTTTCGAGAAAAAAGAATCATGTTAGGAAACCAAACATTAAACCTGGAAACATAGACCAGGTTGTGCAAACGGTTTTCTACGCTTCTGAGCGACCGAATGACTTATTTGCAACCCAATAGCTTGGACGATATTCAGAATATTTGTTCGTAAATAGTGTATGTTCATTGTGTTAGTCTGAATATTGTAAATAGCCTAAATAAAGTTTTCTGCGGGGTCAGAAAAAAAAAAGTCACTAAAATCCCTTTACCTTTGGGTAAGCAAAGGTTCAATGATAATGTATATATATTTATTATTTAGCATAATTGTATATTATTAGTTAGTTTTCAAATATGTTTTTTTAAATTTCGACCTTACTTATCTATAGAAAAAAACTTTAAGCCCATGATAATGAAACAAATCTTTTAATATATCAAATATATTTTAAACAAGATCACAATTTTCTAATTTTACAAACTGAGAATTCTTCAAAGTTCTTTATGATATTTAAGGTTATGAATTGTCGTTTAATGACTTTTAGCAATAAAACGATGATATGTGTGTATGTTTAAATGCTAATGACGATCTTAACGTAATTAGCTTCGACAGTAGTACATAGTGCTAATATTCTTTTAAGGGAGTGGGGCAGATCAGTGGGTAAGGCAATGACTTCCAAAGCTCAAGACACCGAAATCCAGTGGTTGAGAGATCTACTGAGAACACCCAGCCTCTATAAAGTGGCTACTATATAAAGATGGATAACCTGGCGGTCGAGCATGATACTCTCCCGATCACCTCCCTGCTTCCATGAGAGATACTCTCGAATCATTCATTGTATGTTGCAAATAATAATATGAACAGAAATAAAAATTTGTGATTAAAACTTATCCTTTACCAGAATCCGAATTTTCTTCTCCAAAATCATCAAGAGCATAGAGATAGGATGAGTACACACTCTGAACTACGCAGAAAAATGCGAAGACAGCACACAGTTTTCTGTTCATAGTTATCAGCTCCTCTAACTCTATATGCTGAACGATATTGTTTTATACTCATAGATATCTTTATCTGCATTAGGATATAAATAGTTAGTTACGTTAAGATAATGCAGAATAATTGAGATATTTGGCTTAAGCATTGATGAGAGCTTAATGTAATTAACTGATATCTATCCAATTATCTGTTTATTGTAATGTCTGATTACGTCAAGACGTAATTAGAAAGATTAAGTTTACATTTGGAATTTTTGAAATATGTAAATGAGGAATTTGGATGGACGTTTAACATAATTTTACATGTCTGCGAATGTATACTTCAATTAACTGTATTGAAAATATGTTTCTCAAACTTCAAAAGAACCTGGTAGCATAAAATACCACTTTTTTTTTTCATTTTTAAGGTGGTGTTAATATATTATGATTCGCAAAATAAGAAGCATTCTTTTCCTCCCTTTCTCATCAACAATTAAATAATCATTTAAATTTATTTTAAAATATTTGTTTCTGTGTAACACTATTCTGATTGATTGGAGAAGTTAACAAAAAATCTTTATTCTCAATTAAATAAAACTAGAGTTCTCAATTGGATATCATCAAATTGTGGTATCTATGACAATGAGAGAGTTGATAATGCTGTCAACTCGGCAACTATTTCTCAATAATTGGGAACATCTCCATAGAAGAGTGAACAAATGAGATCATTTCGTATAAGAATAAATTGATTGAAAAATGGAGAGTACGGTTGGGAAAACAAAGGAAAAGAAAAACTGTGCTCAATAGAAATCCTCAAACCGAAGATCAATAGGAGAAAAACGTATTTGCTATCTTATACAAATATAGTCCCTAGTGCGTCAATTGCCAAACTTCCTGAAGTATAAAGTTTGCATGCCGTTATGAAATATAACACCTATCTTCTTAGTAAAACCTAATGATGGAACAGCCAAAGGAAGAAATACCTCAGGACGACGAAGGAGAAATTAAAAACCTCTTTTTATGAGGTATCACGATTTATGAAAGTATTGCGATCATGAAAAACCTTCTCCTATGATTCAGGAAAACCTCTTATAGTTTATAATTTAATCTATATTAACCTATATAAACCTATATAATCTAAAAGGTGACGTAAGAGATAAAAACAAAATCTGGTACGGTGTGAGCATCACACGACTTTCACTTGCTATCCTCTTCTTAGCAGAAATAAGTATTTTCAGACAAAGGAGAAGTGAAAATAAAAATTATAGACGCTTTAATTATTTATATTTCATTGTGGGTATTTTTATTTGTATAAGTACCCTTATATATACAAATTTTAATATTTATGTCGATATAATCTATACAATTAAATAAGTCCGTATTATATTAAGCTTATTGAGATTATTTCGTATAAGAATAATTCGATTGAAGTAATACCTCATAAAATGTTACTATCACCATTTATGAAAGTATTGCGATCATGAAAAACATTCTCCTCTGATTGAGGAAAACCTCTTATAGTCGAAAAGGTGACGTAAGAGATAAAAAAAAAAGCTGCGAAAGATATAAAATATATACTAGGTTGTTCATTATGAAATATACTGGCGCCCGACTATACTCCTCTTTTCTATTATTCTTGTAAATCATATTGCTTGGCCCAGATGAAGGCTTACAACTTACAATGGAAGGTTGTGGTCACCGATTTCATTGAAACTTATTTTACTGATACTAGGTCAAAAAATATCTAAACCACGTTCGATTGCTCTTGCCAAGGCAAGATAGTAGCCTAGAATAACCAAAATATAGATATAGTATGAGAACAATATTCAAACGATCTGCACCGTCCGAAGGAAAAAAGTGGGTTCAAATTTTTTTTATGGAAAAACAAAGTTGAACTTTGTATTTTTACCCTCGAAAACCTCTCAATTACAAATTTTCAGAGCAATCGAAAAATAAATACTTTTTCTCAAAATTTGCATCTGGACCTCGTGACATCGGTTTTTTTTTATTTATATATATTTTTTTTTATAAAATTGCAACATTGTCGCAATACAAATGGACTCCGAAAGGCAGTAGAAAATACTTCCCCACCGTTGAATCTCGGCTACAAGCGGAATAGATACTCCCGGACTATTGAGTTTCATAATTTCTCACGGTGCATGGGGGTTTTAGAGCTAAACATCATGGCCTCGGACAGGATATGGATCCCTATTGCCGGAGACTGTTGAGCGTGTGGTCACGGCCTGCACTGCTTTCGACGAATTAAGAGGTTGGTTAATGAGAACCACGAGAATTTACGTCCTTACTGAGGAGGAGTTTCCTCAGTTGGTGAGTGAAGAAAACTTCTCGCGGTTCAAAGAATTCATAAATGGCTGGAAGACGGCGGTGGGCCCAGCTCACTTCAACCTAGGTGCCCGCAGAAGGAGAAGAGGACCAGTCCCAGGAAGACCTCTGGATTCGGAAAGCCAGGCCTAATTTGTTGTAGAAAGACGAAGGGCTAGTTGTGTGCACAGCTTTGAATTTTGTTAACTGATATTATGGCAGTAGTGTGATGTGGATGTGCATTAATGCTTAACATTACACTACTGCACACAGCTGTATTGCATTGCCATGGTGGCATGAGAGGGTGGAAAATAAATTAAAAAAAAAAAGTTTAACTCTGGTACACCGAGTTGAAGTGGCTTTATCCTACTTCCCGACGACAATTCCTCCTTGGCGTTTTTCTTTTCCAAGACTCCAGAACCAAAAACCCTCCCTACATCCTGGAACTCCTTAATCTATGCTCCTCTATCCACTCTCTCAATACTAGATCGCAACCTATAGACTTATATATCCCCTTCCATAAAACTTCCTCCTTCAACAAATCCTTCGTCATTCGTGCTGCTTGTTTATGGAACTCACTTCCTACCTCCATGCGTCAATCCTCGTCCACAAATTCCTTCAAACAACTCCTGTTCCATCACCTAATCCACATTCAAACTTCCGATAACATGTAAAATTACTTGCATCTGTACACTGTCTAATTTCAATCTATTGCACAATTGAAATAACAATTAACAGTAAATTAGTTTGTATTCTTAGGGGACAGTAGTCCCAGAATAAAATTATTTTGTCATTCATTCATTCTCATTGCGTTCACTAACGCGGGTCATATGCCTAATTTTCAAAATCTCTTCCTTTAAAGTACCTTTAATTCTTTTTTTTTAAATAATTAACCATTTCGCCTTTTTATGCTATAAAATGGTTAAATATATTTATAATAATCGAAGAAGGGAATGGGAAATGTAATGGGATTTTAAGATTTTTTGGTGGTTCTCCAGAGGGAATTGTCGTGATCAGAGAGAGAAGTAAGGTAGGTATCAAAGGATTGGGAGCTGAAGGATGATAATTTTTGCTTTAGTAGTTTACAATAATAATTGTAGGAGCGGCAATCGATGGGGTGTTTGGTACGTTGGTATAATGATCTGGCACGGCGTTTGGTGTGGATTAGGTCTATGAGGTTTTGGGGTAAACTATTTTTCTTAGGGGTTCTTGAGGAATGATTTGGAGAGGAAGCTGTCCATACTGCTTGTTGAATAGTGCTCATAAATGTAAAGAGATACACTGAATATAATAAGTCTTTACTTTACTTTGCATAATGACATCCTTGTTCTCTTTCCTGTTAGCTATAGTAACATTTCAAATCAAACAGTGTGAGCTACCGGTGCAACAAAACCATTTAGTATATTTACAATTTTTTAAAATGTAGATGGATGTTTCATGGATTACTCTCTTAAATTCAAAGAGATATACTTAATATAAAGGGTCTTAAAAATGATACCATTCAACTACGCTCTTGTTAAAAAAAATGCTATGGATTTGGGTTAAATATAAAGTAAAAATAGGTTTTCCTGTTGTCTAAAAATAGGTTCTTGACAGTGACCATCATTTATTGCATTTATTTAAGCCAGGAAACGAAATTAAGTTAGTTTGATAAAAATTTAAAAATAATTTCCGTTAATATCTATTTTAAAATGAAGAATATAAAATTTATTCGCATAATCACATCCTTGTTCTCATCCCTGTCACCAATAGCAACATTCGAAATCCAACAATGTCAGCTACTGGGGCGACAAAACTATTCTCTAAATTTACAATTTTTTAAATTTAGTTGTATTTTTCATTGATTTGAAATATGTCTTGGTAAGGCGAGAAGTAGTTCTATAAGATGAATCCAAGAAAAATATAATAACATCTATATTTATGTTCTTACATGTAGAAGTTCAAAGAAATTTTCTTAAGCATATCAGGTAATGATGCCTTCACCCAATTATGATATCACAACAATCCTGCCCACTATATTGTATTTTGGGAAGTTCAAATAAGAACATATCTTGATAAATATAGTAAGTTAAGAATTATTTAAAATGTAATAAATATTGCTTAAGGATTTTGCAGGTGTATAACATATTTGTAATTATATTTTACAAAAATAAGATTTGTTAAATTTATTCAGAAATTATTTTAAAAAATTGTAAATAATACATTATCTAGTTCTCATAAATAATATCAGTTCTTGACTTTAAAGTATTATTCTGAGTATTAAATTTCTGAATCCTTATTCAACAATCAGCCGTAGACTTCAGCATACCAAAATATCGTGTTCTTTGTCCCTATTAAAAAAAAATATCGTTTTAATTCAAATAATAATAAAATATTTAACTGCAATGCGATTTAAATGAAATCTAGAAATATTCGTTGTATTCACATTGCATATAATTTAGCATATATACTGAAAACTACTTACAGCTTAGAATTGTAACAGTACAAACTACCGCATTCATAGTCAATTGGGCAGCAAAATCCAGGTTGGCAAGGCTTCAGTTCACCATGTTTAAAGGTTTCCTTCGGTACTACACCAACAGACATCTCTACGCTGCCTGTTAATTAATAAAATAATAATTATCCAAATTCATAAATTGAATAAAAAACATCTGTAATTTTCAGCGGGTCAACTTCTCTTCTTCTTTATCGATTAAAATATTTTATGATTAAAAAATATTAACCAAAAAGTAATAATATAATATATAATCTTATTATAAAACTAGGAGGGTTCACCTAACGGTGAACCAACCCGCATTTTGCAAATTATACAACTATTCATTTAATTGTACTTCTACAATTGTATAATTTTAATTTACATATATTCTATAGTTTAGTTGGTATTATTTTTATTAACATAAAATAAACTAAACGGAACGAAAAACAGTGTGGGTGAGCACCTGGGAATGAATCTCGTATCATGGCAACACTGTTTAGGCGGGAATACAACGCGAAGGTAACAGAGTAGATGTATTGGGTTGGCAAATATGTTCTTTCGGTTTTTATGGTGAACTAAAACTCAATGTATTATAGACATAAAAATCACCTTAATCTACAATATATTGACCATTATTTATTATGACTTTTTCCCATATTCCCACTAACTGCATAACTGTCCAGTTTGTTAAAAACTGATTGAAGTGGTTTTTGTTGTCCTCTTCCTTTTTGAATTTAGATGGTATTATTTGGTATAATTTCTTTGCATTCATGCAGATCTTCAGTGACCGGAATAAGTAGTAGTCACATTTTTGTGATTTTCGAGAAAAAAAATCATATGAGGGACACAAACATGACACCCTCGAAACATAGCCCAGGTTGTGCAAATGGTTTTCTACGCTTCTTTGCGAAGAAGTGTATCATAGTGACATAAAAATAAACAAAAAAAAACGGAAGGACTTATTTGCAACCCAATAGCTTGGACGATAGTCAGAATATTCGTTCGTAAATAGTGTATGTTCATTGTTAGTCTGCTTTCATTGTAAATATTGTGTACAGTGTGTGATTTAAATGAATGTTTTGTAAATTAAGGTCTCTGGCCACAAGTTGCCTTCAGCACACTTATCCAAATTCTACCTTAAAATATCTCGAGTTAAGAAAAAATAAAATCATCTCTCATCGTAGTATATACATAATTGTAAATATATACAGTAGTTGTATATTAATTCTTAGAGGGTACGAAAAAAAAGTCCATATAATCCCTCTACCTTCAAATACCTTTGGGTAAGTAAAGGCTCAATGATATTATATATACAGTTATTAGTTAGCATAATTATATATTGTAAATAGTCTAAATAAAGTTTTCTGGGGATCTGAAAAAAATAAAATAAATAAAAGTAAAGTCACAAAAAACTTGTTTATATAATAGGGAGATATAATAATAATACATATAATAATATTATATATAAAATATAATATAATTAAAATAGAAAATAAAGATAAAAAACCTGGCGGTCGAACATGATCCTCTCCCGATCACCTCCCTGCCCCCAGGAGATATATTGTATATCATTCATCATTCATTGTATGTTGCAAATAATAATATGAACAAAATAAAAATTTGGTATAAAGCTTATCCTTTACCAGATTCCGAATTTTCTTCTCCAAAATCATCAAGAGCATAGAGGTAGGCTGAGTACACGCTCTGAACTACGCAGAAAAATGCGAAGACAGCACACAGTTTTGTGTTCATGGTTATCAGCACCTCCAACTCTATATGCTGAACGATATTGTTTTATACTGATAGATATCTTTATCTACATTAGGAGATAAATAGTTAGTTACGTTAAGATAATGCAGAATAATTGAGATATTTGGCTTAAGCATTGATGAGAGCTTAATGTAATTAACTGATATCTATTCAATTATCTGTTTATTGTAATGCCTGATTACGTCAAGACGTAATTAGAAAGATTAAGTTTACATTTGGAATTTTTGAAATATGTAAATGAGGAATTTGGAAGGACGTTTAACACAATTTTATATGTCTGCGAATATATACTTCAATTAACTGCATTTTTTTTTTAAATAATTTTATTGAGGTGTAATACATTTTACCACACTTAAGGGTACTGATTATTAAAGCTGTAAGTTACATTCATACCATATTTACAATTATATAAAATAAAAAAAATTAAATACATAAAAATAGATATATAAAAGGTAATAATGCATATATAACAAAAATAAAAACTGTAGTAAAAACAAAGAAATATAGCTTATAGTGAAATAATACAGACAATTTTAAAAAAGAAAAGAAAAAAAAAATCATACTTATTTACAATCAGCCAAGGGAGCTCCAACTTCAGTCAGCCCTTTCCCCCACGTGTAGAGGACAAGGTTAGGCTCTAAGAGATCCCAGCGCTACTCTCTCAGCCGCGTCACCGGAATCAGAGTCCAATGGAGACTTAGAGAGAGCAGTACAGGCACAGACGCTCATGACTTAAGTGCAGAAGCTGGCCAGTGCTAGAACTCCAATGACATATTTACAAAATATCTCGAGGTAACTGCCGTTTCAACCTTCGAGGAGGATTGTAGGGATGACTGGAGCTGGATAAGGATTGTGCTAAGGAGTTAGGATGGTGGATTAGGTTCAAGTGAAAATTTGTGATCGGAATTGAATAACATCAAGGACATAAGGAATGTGAAGGTCATGATGTATTTTTCGTGACGTGATAAGGAACCTTGACTATTATACGGAGGACTTTAGACTGGAAGGATTGGATGCGTTTGATGTTCGAAAATTTGGTTGTCCCCCACAGTTCAAGTCCGTAGTTCCAGATGGGTTTCAGTATGGTCTTATACACTAGCAGATCCAGGATTTAATTTTTTTTGGGGGGGGGGGGACTTCAGCCCGAAAGATTTTTTTTTCAAAAATAATTTGAAAAAAAAAGAAAGAAATTAACTACCTATATGAAATGGTGTGTAAGTGGTTCTTGAAGTCCTATTAAATGTAATTAAACGAACAATAATACTTTAAAAGATAGTTTTTAATATTTTTTTCTGTAAAATGAACGTGAGTAAATATTATTATATTATCACGAAAATGGTTCAGTGCTCTTTTTGTGATAGTGGCATCTCTAGGGAGGACAAAACTAATATAAGCTGCAATAAATGTGAGGTCATCTTTCACGGTAAATGCTGCAAACTGGGCGATAAAGAGATCGAGACATTAAAATCTCAAAAAAAGGTATGGCTTTGTAAAAAATGTGACCAAGGCAAAAAGACATACCAAATTAGAAAAAAATCAGCCAGTCCACCAAGAAGTGAAATCAAGGAGCCGTCCGCAGCTGATATTCTCAGAGCGGTTAATCGACTTAGCGCCCAAGTCAATGAAGACATTAAAAATATTAAGTCTTCATTAGAAAAATACGGTGAGCTCAGCTTTGAGTTAAATGAAAGATTTTCAAAAATAGAAAATCATCTTGAGAACCAAGCTAAACATCTGGAGGAATTGACTTTGGAAAATAAAACGCTAAAATCCAGAGTGGGGGAACTCGAGGTACGATTAAACAGAGCCGAGCAGGGCTTACTCTGCAGATCGGTAGAGATCCGAGGCATTCCGGTACGTGCAGGAGAGACTCCATCGGCCCTAGTTGCCAGTGTGGGGGCCGGTCTCGAGGTGAAGATTAACTTCGAGGACGTCGATTTTGTGGAGCGCCGTAGACCTAAAAAAGACGATCCTAGACCACCACCCGTTATAGCTCGCTTTGTGAGGCAGGCAGTACGAGACGAGCTCGTACAAAGAAGAAAGGTCAAAAGGGACTTTTCAACTCGAGACATTGGCTGGCAGGAAAACGACTCCCACCATCTGGGTGACGAAATGACTCCCATATCTGGGTGAAGAAATGACCCCTGCTAATAGAAGATGGTATTGGCTCGCACGTCAGAAGAGAGCGGCTGGTAAACTAAAGTACGTATGGTTTTACGTGGGTAGCTTGCGCTGCAGAAAAGGAGATGGCCATCCCGTGATATACATCGACCAACCAGATGATCTAGATGTTTTCTGCTGACCTTCTGATTTACGTCAACCTACAGAATGCATACGTAAACACCCAATTATCTTCTATTGTATAATACAGCATCGCGCTGGGTTACTCATCTATTACTACTATTACTGTTATTATTATTTCTCTATTTTAACCAATGTAATCTTTTTTTTTATCTTTCATATTTTTGAACCTAACTCTATTTTGTTTGTATTTTTTTTCTCTTCTCTTACAGCCATTATTTACTTCTTTCCAAATTTATTTTCACAGTTTTCTCTTACTTTCCGCGCCATCCATCATATATATACTTTTCTCCTTTCCGTTATGTCTAGAGTCTTAACTACTTGCCATGTTAATTCACAATCTCTTCCTGCTCACTATGACGAATTTCTCCAATATTTCACCCGTATATTGTACCACATTATTGCAGTTTCTGAAACATGGCTTAAGTGGAAGAAAATATAACTTCCACCTCCGTTTCCTTACCTAATTATACCTTCATCCGTCATGACCGAGTTCACCGGACTGGCGGAGGTGTTGGTCTCTATGTTCACAATAGCTTGAAACCCCGTGCGACAACTGTAACAGGTAAAGTGAAGTTTGGATAGTTATTGCTGAGAGTTGTAGGAAATATGAACTGGTAAGGGATACATGTGATGGGAGAGGGATTGGTGGATGATGACAGCATTGCCAGCATGTGCTGTTCCATCAGGGTGGTCAGTTCGATATATCTTGTAGCCAGGTATGTTGAACTGTCGTTTGTTAGTTACTCGGGTCTCAGTTATGTTATTGTCCTGTAGAAAAAAGGTTAGTTCGTTGATGTGATTTCAAACACCATTCCAAATCGCATTCCAAAGGAGAATGGAATGGGGTTTTATTGAGGACATTCAAGGAATTCTTGGCGGTGGTATAAGATTAGCTATGACGTTTAATTAACTGTATTAAAAATTTGTTTCTCAAACTTCCAAAGAACCTAGTAGCATAAAATACCACTTTTTTCATTTTTAAGGTGGTGTTAATATATTATGATTCGCAAAATAAGAAGCATTCCCTTCCTCTCTTCCTCATCAACTATTAAATAATCATTAAAATTGTTTTCAAATATTTTTATTCTGTTTAACACCATTCTGATTGATTGGAGAAGTTGATACCAACAAAAAAGCATTCTTCTCAATTAAATAAAAATACAGCTCTCAATTGGATATCATCAAATTGTGGTATCTATGACAACAAGAGAGTTATGTAGAGTTAATGCATGTTATCAGACAGCGCTGTAGCTTGTAAACAAAGGCAGGTGTGGCTACCCAATGGCTTGGGTGAGGTTACCCAGACAGTAGTAGTCCTTTGTTTCTGATGCTGTGATGTTTATGTAGAGTAATAAAGGTGTGTTGTGTTTTTGTGCTGTAAAAGTTTTCAACATAGCTTCATTCGAACAATCTGCACCGTTCGAAGGAAGTTGAAAGGAAAGTTGAACTTTGTACTTTTACCCTCAAAACCTCTCAATTACGAATTTTCAGAGCAATCGAAAAATAAAGATTTTTTCTCAAAATTTTCATCTTGACCTCGTGACCTCTTTTTTTTTTTTGTTTGTTATTAGAAAATATCAAAATTGATATAACTCCAAAATGGACTTCGAAAGACAATATCTTAAGAAAATACTTCCCCACCGTTGAATCTCGGCTACAAGCGAAATGGATACTCCCGGACTATTGGGTTTAGCGATTTCCCTCCCTACATCCTGGAACTCCTTACTCTACGCTCCTCTATTCATTCTCTCAATACTAGATCTCAACCTATAGACTTATATATCCCCTTCCATAAAACTTTCTCCTTCAGCAAATCCTTCGTCATTCGTGCTTCTTTCTTTTGGAACTCACTCCCTACCTCCATGCGTCAATCCTCGTTCACAAATTGCTTCAAACGACTCCTGTTCCACCACCTACTCCATATTAAAACTTCCAATAACATGTAAAATTACTTGCTTCTGTACCGTGTTTAATTTCAATCTATTGCACAATTGAAATAAGTTTGTATTTTTATTAATATATCAGACGAAGAACTATAAATTTGTAACTCTTTTATTATTCTTAGGAGACAGTAGTCCCAGAATAAAATTATTTTTTCATTCATAATTGTGGGTAAATGGTTGACTGTCGTCACGGGCGGATCTACGGGGGGGCTTTCGGGCTGAAGCCCCCCCCTCCCCCAAAATGGGAAAATAAAACCATGTTTAATCGAAAAAAATTATCTCTCGAAGTATTATTGTTCGTGTAATTACATTTAAAAGGGCTTTAGGAATCACTTAAACACCACTTCATATAGGTAATTAGTTTCTCTCTTTTTTCCCAGAGTAATTATCGTTATTTTTATGAAAAAAAAAGCTTTCGGGCTGAAGCCCCCCCAAAATTAAATCCTGGATCCTCTAGTGACTGTCGTGAATAATGAAGAGAAGAATAGTTGGAGTGATCAGAAGGCAAAAATAAATGATAATATTTATTTTTGCCTTCTTATTTGACTGATCATCCCAACTATTCTTCTCTTCATTTTTTTCATTCATTCATTCATTCTCATTGTGTTCACTAACTGGGGTCACATGCCTAATTTTCAAACTATCTTCCTTTAAAGTACCTTTAATTTTTTTTATTTAAAATAATTAACCATTTCGCATTTTCATATGCTATAAAATGTTTAAATATAAAATATGAAAGTATTTCATAATTAATTAAATAATTAAAATATGCAGTCGTAAATAGAAATGGTTAGTACCAAAAAAAAAAAAAAATTATAATACACTAGATGGCTATGAAGAAATATGG